ACAATTAGGAATATCATGGGGGATAGTAGGCAACCTTGTTTCACTCCTGTCTTCACTTCAAAGGCATCACTGAGCTTCCCATTGTGGATTACTTGGCATGTGGCATCTTCATATAGTTGTTGAATGAGGCGGATAAAGGTTTGCGGTACTCCGTAGTATTGAAGCAGTTTCCAAATTACTTCTCGGTCGACGCTGTCAAAGGCCTTCTCAAAGTCGATGAAGTTGAGATGGAGAGGTGATTGCCATTCTATGCTCTGTTCTATGATGATACGAAGCGTTGCAATTTGGTCTGCACATGATTTGTACTTCCTGAAGCCAGCCTGTTCCGGTCGTAGTTTTGAATCCAGTGCATCTTTAAGCCTCTCCAGGATGATGCGGCTTAATATTTTACTTGGGGTGGACAGGAGAGTGATTCCGCGCCAGTTCTTGCAAGCACTGAGGTCTCCCTTCTTCGGCAGTTTGACAAGGTAACCCTTCTTCCAATCGTCCGGTACCTTCTCTTCCTTCCACACCTTCTGCAATAGTGGTGTGAGCATGGCCGCTGTTGTCTCTGCATCTGTTCTCAGTGCTTCTGGCGGTATTCCATCTGGTCCTGCTGCTTTCCCGCATTTCAGTAGCTTTATGGCGTTCAGGACTTCCATTTTCGTTGGGGGATTAATGTTCACTTGTAGTTCAGCGGCTGCAGGTGGTATTTCTGGACGAAGTGCAGGTGGTGGTCGATTCAAGAGCTTTTTAAAGTGGTCGGCCCATTATTTCCTTTGTTCCTCTTCTTTCATAATTAAATTTCCTTCTTCATCTTTTATTGGTTTCATCTGTGTTGATCTCTTTCCTGATAGCAACCTGGTTATTTGATACAATGTTGTCAGGTCTCTCTTACCTGCAGCCTGTTCTGCTTCACTTGCCAGTGTTTCGTAGAAGTGTCTTTTGTCTTTGCGTGCACTCTTCTTTACTTCTTTGTTCAGTGTTTCATACATTGTGCTCAGTTCCTCTTGTCGTTGAGCATCCTTGCACTGGTTTATCTTCTGCTTCACCATCCTCCTCTCCTCTATCAGCTTCCAGGTATCCGTCGAGATCCATTCCTTGTCTTCCGCCTTCTTCCTTCCTAATACTGTTGTGCAGGTTTCTTTCCACATAGCTTTCAAAGACTTCCAGTGTTCTTCCACACAGGTTTCTTCAGGGATGTTGCTCGATGTCTCCCATTTTGTCTTGATGGCTGCCGTGAAGATCTCCTTTGTAGTTTCATCCTTCAGTTTCCGTGTGTTGTACTTGAACTGTGGTCTATCACCAGCTTCCTTGAAGGCTTTTAACTTGATTTGGAAGGTTCCTTGCACTAGGTAGTGGTCTGAACCTACATCTGCTCCTCTTCTTGACCTTGTGTTAAGTAGACTGCGTCTCCATTTTCTTCAGATTGAGATAAAGTCGATTTGATTTTTAGTGTTTCCTTCTGATGAAATCCATGTCGCTTTGTGGATATCTTTGTGCCTGAACACACTGCCTCCAATCACCAAATCGTTGAATGCGCAGAATTCTGCAAACAATTCTCCATTCCCGTTCATTTCACCTAGCGCCTCTCGACCCATGGTTAGTTCTCTTCCTGTGTTGTCCCCTCCCAGTTTGGCATTCATGTCGCCCATTAGAATTTTGATATCGCCAACTGACGTCTTGTCCAGTGTTGATTGAAGTTGTCTGTAGAATTCCTCCTTTTTCTCTTGCTCTGCATTATTTGTAGGTGCATAACATTGTATGATTGTGACCTTTCTTCCTTTTGAGTTGAATCTTGCTGTCATGATCCTGGAGGAGATTGGTTCCCACTGCATGAGAGCCTTCGATGCTCTTGAGGACATCATGATAGCCACTCCAAAACTCAGTGTGCTCGTGGTTGGCGTCTGGGTGACCGGAGTAGATTATTGATTCTCCAGTTGATAGTTTGGAGAGTCCACTCCCATTCCATCTGCTTTCGCAAATCCCAAGCACTTCGATGTTATACCTTCTCATCTCCCTTGCAATCTGGGCTGCCTTACTGGGTTCAAACATCGTGCGGACATTCCATGTCCCCACGTTTACTTTCGCTTTCATCGAGAGAAGACACATCGGCCAATTGGCTTCCCGAAGGCTTTCACCAACTGGCGTCATTTCGCCTCTCCGATTCCAGCGGGGAATAAGTTTGTTTTCATTTTTATATTTTGTTTGTGCTTTGAAGTTTCTTTAGCGGTTAGATTTGTTTTACGGGGTAGGGTTGCTAGCCCTATGCCCAACCTTCCCTCTTTATGGGGGCTTAGGACCGGCTAGTAACTAGTAAACTAGTTAACCAGGCGAGGTTGGCCTTCCTAGAGTGACCGATAAATCTCCAGGAAACAAAAAGCAGGTATCCATCCAAACCACTATCACGAAGGGTATCCACTCTACAGAGGATTTTGGCAATGGCCCACAGAAGGACAAAAACCTGAGAGGTTCTAAGCCGAACAAAAGACTGCCTGCACCAACGGCAACTGCATCCACTTCAAACCTTGGAGCCGCGCCAGAGACAGCAACCAGCGAACACATAAGGAATGGGTCAGGGTGGAGAAAAAAGCTCGAAGCAGCCGCGGAAATGCACCTATAGGATCGGATGACGATGGCATCAATGACCGATCTAACTCTGTCATTCTGTTAAGCGTTTCCGTCTGTGATGATATCCCTCTGGAGCATAAGGACGAGTTTGACAGGCACCAGTGGACTCCCTTTGTGCTATGCTAGGTCCGGGCGCTCTGAAGGCAAAACTGTGTCGACTGCACGAAGGCACCCACCCACCAGCAGGGAAGCCTCCGCCAATAAGAGTGACCCTAGGCTCAACCACAGACCGTGAAAAGTTCCCCTTACCGTCACACACCCTGGTCATCAACAGATCGCCCAACATTAGGGATAGACCTGACCGATCATAGTTAGCAAGAAAGACGTCTCAAGAAGAGGCTGATACACCAAAACCCACAGCCATGGTCGTACATGGGATACCTGAAGTGGTGACTGGTACCCCAGGTGATCGGCGCACATATGACGTCAAACAACGGGAGTGACTATCGGCTCCGATGGAGTCGAGTAGGGTTGCAGCTGCGACAGTTGGCAGACTGCCACGCCCCTAGCATCTGACAGCCGTGACCTCATCTAGACTAGTGGCTGTTGACTTCGAGTCCCCAGAAGTATTCACCAGGGTGCTAGAGATGTGGTACAAAGTCAAGAGTGCCGTAAGCGGTAACGTTCGCTGCTACGAAAGCGGATCAAGAACACTGAGACAACAGACAGCAGTTACTCCCTGTGCCAGGCCACCGTAACCCTAGACCGAAACGTTGATAGTCAGACCAGCAACCCCCACCCAACATCGAGTGCACAAATCAACCCGAGAAAAAACTTAACTAGGCCAGTCCCATTGGAACCGGCCAGTCAGTTGAAACTCCCACATCCAAGCCTGAGCTACTGATTCACTCAGAGACATCTCACGTTACGAGAAGCACTTCCAAGTGTCTCTACAGTAACGTGAGGGGGCTCCGAAGTAAAATGTCAGAGCTACGATCCATCTGCTTCCACCTCGCCCCGAAAACCATGATCCTGGCAGAAATATGGTTGTCACCAGGCATAAGTGACACCAAAGTTAACACAGATGACATGATTCTGTTCAGGAGGGACAGAGAACATAGGGACGGAGGGGGAGTAGCAATATACTTGAACAAATAGGTTCGGAAGTGAACAAACCACTGACACGGTACTGACAGAGCTCCCAGACTCTATCTGGTGCCACTCCACGGTCAAACACACCAAATGTCTAGTTGGAGGAATCTATAGGTCCCCTAGTAGCAACTTGGAACACAACCAAAAACTACTCCAAGCAATATCCACAGTGTCAACCATAGGGTGTGACCAGATTTTAATAGTTGGCGACTTCAACGCTCCAACCCTCAGCTTAGAGCAAGGTGGCACGACCCGAGACGGAGGTTTGACTGTAACCTGCTAAACGCTATCCAAATGGCTGGTCTGCAGGGAAAAATCAGCAACAACTCCCGCTGGGGTCAAATGGTAAACCATCGAAACTGGATTACCTACTGACTAGTTATCCCCTTCTGGTTGAAAATGTTCAGGTACAAACTCCTCTTCGAAGTAGCAATCACGCTATGGTGATGTTTGACCTGTTAATCAGTGAAAAAGTATCGTGGGAAGGACCTCGCCCTTACCTCTGTTACAACAAGGCGAATTGCGAAGGTATGAACAAAAGCCCATCAAAAGCTCCGTGGCCGGTGGATTGGTGTTCCTTATCGATCGGCCAGCACCGGGAACTGCTAAAAGATATCATTAATGAGTAACCCAAGTCACCCGAACAGAGGAATTCTACCGAGTGGCCACTACAGAGATCCTTGAGGAAACCCCGATGGAATAGCACATCAGAGGTCAAAAATGCATGTGCATTCACAGTTCTTCTCCCCCGAGTCTGCGGGTACTGGAATGCACTACCAGCAGAGGTGGTCTGTACCCCAAATATCGAAGGCTTCAAGAAGAGACTAGACAGTCACGCAGAGACTCATGATCAACACACACATATGGAACACGAGGTGATGTCAAGCCACCCCCAACCAGTTTTCTTTCTATTGTAACCATTCAAGCCCTTTTCGTCCCTTCCACCTGCCATAAGTTGGCCTCACTTACCTGAGTTCTCCATACCTTTGCACCCCCCTCCCCCACCTTACTTGGGTGTGAGTAGATTACTCCATCAGTTCCCTTTTCTTCTCCTCTTTACTCACACAAACACTTTCCAGGTTTTCTCTTCACTATCCCTAACCCTCTCTAGCGACCAGACCGAACAACTGTCTGGTAACTCGTCATCTGAAGAAACCAACCGCACCAGAGTCCAAGGCAAACAAACCAACACTTATCTTATTGTTCTGTAAATCAGAGCTGTAGCAAACGAGTGGCTGGATCTACTGCATCGGAATCCACCAAAGATCTGGAACCGTTCTGCAAGATCAAGAAGCGGGCAAGAAGAAATCAACCGGTTTACTCAAGCTCGTTAAAAAGATATTGGATATTGGAACAACCATCTGAAACATCTCAACGTTAGAAGATATATTAACGCGCGTGATATCTATTGTACGCTACTATGGAAGCCGGTGATCACCATAATCATACTGAAGTGACTAGAGAAGAGCTTTTTAGGCCGCATGAACCCAGTATCTTCAATAGATTTGCGAAAAAAGTATGTCTACTCTTTGAAGTACCCGTCGTTTTGTTTCACGGTAAGTTATAAGTTAATTGGTATATAGTTTTACAGATCAAGTGGTTGAAAAAGTCCGGAAACCTTACCCTTATTATCACAAACGTTATCAGCGTGTTCCAACCATAGATCAGTGCCGCATTGACGATTTGGCTTGCGTGGCGGAAGCCAACAGACAATTCAATCGGGATCGGTAAGTCTCTGTTATCTTGGTCTTCTAAAATACATAAGAGATGTAAAGATGGATTTGAAATCTTTGGTTTACAAGTGTTGACAGTTATTCAATAATTTTTCTGTCAGCAGTTGACATGAATTTATTAAGGTATTCACATAATATCCATCCTAATATCAGTTTCGTACAGCTCTGCTATCTCTCGTCGCACTTTCTTAAGTTCTAAATGTAGGGAAATGATGAAGGTATTCCGGCAGCTTTAGACTTTTGCATCCTAACTCACATGTGTCTAAAGATGATTTTCCTCGCTGGCAGGAAATCTGCTTATCATAATCCTGGTTAAGCGAAAATTAACTTGAAACTAATTATCTGGTTGCTAAACAGTAAATCATGTAGGAAACACTAACAGAGTGAAAATATTAGTTGCATTCGATGGAAGCAGATTAACTAGGGTCCGACATTGTGTAGTTTTTCTTCAAAGACATTCTGGATCCCATAGGACCTCGAGAGGCTCGACTTCAATTGAGTTCATAGGTTCTTCGATCGAGAACGTTTATTTATATTTCAGTAAGAATAGTCGTATTTGCATAGCTGGCGTGTTCCACCTGATGTCTCACATTAGTGATTCACAATTATTATACCTTAATACTTCCCAAGGTAGATTGTGTGACCTCACCACCCAGCTCTTCTTCAGGTTTGTAAAAGCTGGAAAGGTGGTATCAAGTTCCTGTTTGAGTTGGAAGTAAGTGAAGGGAAAATGAAATGTGACCGCAGATCTATTTCCCACCAAGCATCTTACTTTTTCTGCCTTAGGTATGTCAAAAAATGACCACGTTGATATTGTTAACAGATGTCATCAGTTCACTCTTTCAAGTAGGCTTCAAAAAACACCGACTTTTATCACTTACTGACACCATCTCTCGTTTGTCATCCATCAGCACTCACAATCGTCAAAAACTGGTCGAAACCCATTCTTACCTCTCATCATGACCATAGCCAGCAGAAATAAATTTCTTTTGAGTGGTTCTGATGGATATTTAGAAATCCGTTGGTTACAGGCTGTTAACTGCTCTTACTGCCTTCTTCACAACAGAGTGAATATGACTTGAAGTTGTGTCCATATTTCAGAAACACTCGTTGCTCCAATAAGTGCCTCATTAATGTGTCAACCAGATCCCTACCGTCCAGATCTTTGAATGCATGCATATTTATCAGTGACATATTTGTCGACGAGAAGACAAATTCTAAGTCTATCGATCATACCGTCTTACAATAGTTTTCCCTACTAGCCTATTTGCTCGAGAGGTTTGGTTGACTAATCGACCAGGCGAAGTGAAATGAATAAGCACACTTTGACATTGTTTACAAGTTTCAGAAACAACGTAGACATTTGCTTGTAGATATGAGTTTTAGGTAATCGAGGTTGTCGTGTGGTTTGACATAGGGGTTGTAGTTAGCAGTGCACTTTTAGGTAACTAAGAATGAATGCACGACTACATAGTTGTAAATGGTGTGATATGAAGCTGTTCAGAAATCAGCTCCAAACTATATTGAAATGAAAATTATTGTGGAAGATACTGTGCTACTTTCAGAAGGAAAATGGCAGTAAAGTTTAGTCGGATAGCGAAAGTAGTGGGACATTTTAAATGCCTAGATAATATAAGTGTCTTTCAGTAGCTGTCATAATTTGAATCCCGGTTCATGTTTTTCATCAGTTATAATTCTAAAAAAGATTTAACCAAAAGAATACGAAATACTTGAGTTATGCATTGAGCCAATCTTATATCGTGAATGGTGAACATAGCGTTTCGAAATAGAGTATTAGATGTCTGAAATGCCTTAGTTGCTTATCGCCCAAGCATATTCACTATCATAAAATATACATTGAGCGAAGAAATGTTTCTTTTCCATCAGGTCTTCGTCATTGGCTGTACACTAATATATAAGTTTCACATTTAACCACAATATCATTTAGTGATGATGGGTTAATTAACTAAAATGATTACAAACTACTAATTACTCATAAGGCTAACAATTGGAGATATGTAAACCTCAAGATCAAAATTTGACCTGATAGAGTTGAATAAGTTGAGCATTGGGTAAATGGATTATGAATGAAATATATTTGCAAAATCCCAATGAAGTAGAAAATTAAATTTCTGATGTTTCGCGACTTTGTGGAAATCGCTTCTTCAGAGAACAAAACCTGTATAAGTTATCGATTGTTTAAATAAATATTTATTATTTACTATCTAAACAATCGATAACTTATACAGGTTTAATTCTCTGAAGAAGCGATTTCCACAAAATCCCGAAACTTCAGAAAATTATTTTTCTACTTCATTGGGTATTTACAAATATATTTCATTTATAACTAGAGATATGAATATCCATCCGAATCAACATGGGACGAGGTATTACCGCGTAACGGTGCGAGTTGCGACACCTCATATCAGTACATCAAGTAAAAAGGCAGCGAAGTGGTGATATTCATTATAGCGTCGTTAAGATGGGGATAATGTATGTATACATCTGCGCCACTGACATCGGTCCTGAGCCATATCACCTAGATTCTCCAACCACTGGTTTCTCCCGTCCCGCAGACCTCAACCGGCTAGTCTACATCACCCCACATGGCTCAAACCACCAGTCAAACACTTCATACATTGATGCCATGTTTTAGTCTGTCCACCTCGAGCCTTTTTCCAGCCTGGACCTACTTCAGCCAACATTGTGTGTCGATGCAGATGTTGATTAAGCATACGTAACATATGTCCCAGCCAGGCATCTCAGTCGATGAAGGTTCACAACTGAGTCAACTGACTCACCTCTTCTCCCTAAAACTCTACACCTGACTTCTGCCTTACTCATATGGTGACACAACGAAATAAAGCCTATACTACGAAGGCAATGGTAGTCAAACACCTGAAGCCAGCCTTCTCATGTCTTCCACCTTCAATGGCCATGTTTCACAGCCATAGAGTAGAACAGACCGGACTGTTGTACAGTACACGCGACCCTTCATAGACAATCGGATATCACGGTGGCGCCACAGGTGGTGTAATTTGGCGAAAGCCAACCTAGCCTTTTGTATCCGTGCAGAAATTTCATTGGCCATGACCAAGGCAGCAGGGCTGATCCTACTTCCCAGTCAAGTGAAGCGGTCAACACACTCAACCGCGTCACTCTCGATTGTTAGCCGTGGCACTGCTGAAGACCAACCGTGGAGCAACAATTTGCATTTGGGTGGTGAGAAACACATCCCAAACATTCTCAAATCCCCACTCAAAGTCTTAACAAGACTCTGCATCTTGTCAGCGTCTTCACCTAACAGGACTATGTCATCTGCATATTCTAACGAAAATTCTCCACCGATTAGGTCAACGTCTGTGTAATTAGGCGACGAGAGATAAACCACCATAAGAACATCTATAATAAAATTGAATAAGAATGGAGAGAGTGGGCACCCTTGACGGACACCACTAGATGAGTACAGCTCACCTGACATCTCACCATAGGCTCCAACACCCCCACAGTGTTCGAGCAAACAGCCTTCAATAAAGTGATGTACTTACTCGGCATGCCTTTCAGTGAGAGAAAATGCCATAAGACCTCTCGATCAACGAGTCGAATGCCGCCTTCAGGTCGAGAAACACAGCTAGTGTTGGACGCCGGTAAGCGTGTCTGTGTTCCAAAACCTGGCGCAGTGTGAATACTTGGTCGATACATCCGGAGCCGGGTCTAAAGCCTGCCTGGTTTTCTCTGACTTGCTGTCCCCTAGCTCCACTCAGGCGTCGAAGAGTTATAGAACCTAGGATCTTAGACACTATGTTCGTCAGGCTGATTCCTCTATGGTTATCACAGGAGGACTTCTCGCGTTTTTTGAAGACTGGGATAATCAGTGGTTCAGACCAGTCAGAGGGGATTGTATTTGATTCCCACATACTAGTTAACACTTCCGTTAACCTGACTAAGAGCACTCTACCACCATCCTTGTATACCTCAGGAGGTAGTTCGTGTGGTCCTGCTGCCCTTCCTGGTTTCAGGTTACTTACCGCTTTCTGAACTTTTCCCAGCGTTGGAGGGCCTATCTCAATGTTCCATTCAGGATCCGACTGGATAGTGGGCGACGCAATGGTGGCTGGAGGCCAATTAAACTGTTCCTCGAAGTGTTCTGCCCATCGTTCCAGTCGTCTCCTCTGCGAGTGAATTGCAGATCCATCCTTCTCCGCTATGATCTCACTGACCGCAGTTGACCTTTTTCCCCAGTTTCCTTATTAAGTCTAAATAACTGTCTACTGTTACCAAACATCGCTGCCTTTTCCATCTCTTTAGCCTTCGCTGAATATGTAAATTGATGAGTAGGGTAATTATATAAGATTGGTGAGAGTGCTAGGTCAAATAAAATAGGATGTTGATTCACCAACAGCATAACAGCTAACATGAAAGTTGAAAAAATAAACAACTTTGAGTTAGTGAATACATGCCAAAATAATTGCGTAATAACAGATAAACAGAAAATTAAAAAGACAAGTAATATTAGATGAAGAGGACAGAAGGTTGTTCGCTAACAAATTATAGTCCACTGGAAAAAAGTGAAATAAATTAAAGTTATACAATAATTTACCCTAATGGTGGCCAGGGTAATGACGAAGGTTGTACAAATTTCTTCTGAATACAAAAACTCGGTTTGTAGATGTGTGGTGCAACAGCTTCTGCCGTGTGCAGAATGCGAGTACGTAGACTACGCAGAAGACTGAATAGTGTGCGGTAAATAACTATAAAAGCTTTGCTCATATTCCCTTTATAACCAGTATTTATCAAATGTGTAAGTATTGAGCTCTTTATGGTTTTTATTCGTCCTTAACCCGGCCATGCTGGATGGTGTTCAGATATTCTGGGATGAAATTACCTAATTGTAAACCTTATATAACTAGCTCCAACGAAGTAGATAAACTGAGAAAATGCACATAGAGGATGCAAAATTAGGAAGTCAATCTTCATACCCTACATCATTATCAATGTCAACATGAGACCAGGCATAACTGTAACAAAGTGAGAAGATGAAATATGAAGGAAGAAAAAAGGATTAAACGCAGTAGAAAGTAGTAAAGGAGGGGAAGGAGGCATGGTAAAATGCTGAATTTAGCTTGGCGGTTAAGATGAGGATGAAGTGTGGATAAATCTACACCACTGACATCGATTCTGAGTCATATCACACAGTTGCCAACTACTGGTTTATGTTATCACGTGAACTCCAATCGGCTAGTCTACATCTCTATATGGGACTGAGACCAACAGTCAAGGACTTCATGCATTGATACCATGTTTTAGTCTGGTCATCCCAAGCCTTTTTCAGCCCGAACCCACTTCGACCAACATTATATGACGAGGCAGACGACTGGGCATACATAATTCGTGTCCCACCCATCTCAGTTGATGAAGGTTCACAACCGTATCAACTGTCTCATCCTTCCTCCGTAAAACTCTACTCCTGACTCCTACATTACTCACGTGGTAACACCACGAAACATGGCCTATGCCACGAAGACAATGGTAGTCAAACACCTGAATACCTCCTTTGTCTTCTACCTTTAATGACGATGTTTCACACTCTTAAGGTAGAATAGAGCGAAATATGGTGCACTACACTCCACCTTTAGTCGAAAACCGGATATCAAGGTGGCACCACAGATGTCATAATTTGGCGAGGGTTAATCGAGCCTTTCGGACCCGTGCTGAAATTGTGTCGATCACTGACCCATCAGAGCTGATCCAACTTCCTAGATAATTGAAATGTTTAAAAAAGTGAAAATGAATGTTTCTGGTCTACAGAAAGCTGCATGTAAAGCTGTAGTGCATGCACCGTTGCTTATAATGATATAGAAATACTTCAATAGTGGCTTGGCAAATGTCTATCGGCTCAAGTTTATTTACAATAGACTTTGGTTAAAAATGTTTGAAGCGTTTAGTTTAACCAGACAGAAAATCACAGGGTACTGTAATGTTATCCTGTGTACAGCAAGTCATTAAAGGAGAATAGTCAACAGTCAACAGAATCCTTCCTGTTGCAAGGTCTGCAAATTACTGAGATATTAATTCCCTGTAGTTTATATTCCTTTCTCACTCCAGTTGAGGTTTTGAATTTTTTCGGGTTCACTGGTTTCAAATTCTCATATTTATTGCTAATGATTTTGTTGAATGAACTAAAAATAGATTTTTATTACGAAGTTACTTCCTTTAAATGCTTATTGAAGATGGGATCACTATTTAAAGGTAGTCTACATCTCTCCACATGGTTCAAACCAATGGTAAGAGACTTCATCGACTAGTGCCACGTTTTAGTTTGGCTATTCTGAACTCTTTTCCAACCTAATCAAACTTCCCTTAATATGACAGGTCAAGGTAGGCGTTGGTAGGTCCGCAAACTCAGTACATGTCCAAACCATCTCAGTCGACGAACTTTCATAACCTCATAAGTCGACTTATCGGTCTATCTTGCCTAGTATCCTTCTTTTGACATCAACATTCTTCACATGGTGATTCCACCGAATGTGAGTAATGCTACGTAGACATCTATGATCAAAATCTTGTAATCGCTTCATGTCTTCTACTGTTAGTGACCATGTCTCACAGGTGTACAACAAGAAAGAACGGAATGCAGTGCAGTATACACATAATAGCCTTCATCCACCATAAAAAACTAGTTTCTCTTATATATTTGTTTCACATACTTTTTATACTTTATATTCCAATAATCATTGTGTTCTTGTTTGTTTTCTTAATTTTAAATCTATGAAATATTTGTATAGACTAGTTGATTTAAACATTGTTCAAATTCTTCGAAATCGTAAAGCCGAATGCCAAAGATGGTATAATTATGAAAGAGAAGATATCGAGCGCTTCTGCGGTACCTTTATTTCTGAATATGAAGAGGCAGCTGTTAACTATTACATAAAGTGTACGTTTTTATTTCTATAAATTATATATGTAAATAAACCCTAACTGACTGTTGAGTACAAAATTAGCATACAGTGTAACGTATATAACGTCAGGTTGGAATCAGCACAGCACCTAATTATTATCACTATCACTTTCCGTAATCCCAACGGGGTGGCTTTAGGAAGAAAAAATAATGTGCGGATCAAATTGCTACACAACGCATCACCATAGAATAGAGCATAAATTGGCAATCAACTCATTACTTTATCTCCATCGACTTTAAAAAGGCCTTCGACAGCGCCGACCGAGAAGTAATTTAGCAGCTGTTTCAACACTACGGAAGTTCACAAACCTTTATCAACCTCATTCGATAGCTATACGCTATATGATGAGGATATATACCAATTGATTCACAATGCAAAGCTCAGTGGTGCCTGTGAAGTGGAGTGAAGTGAGGACAGGAGTAAGATGACAAGGTTGCCCACTATCCATCACCGATGATCTTCCTGATCGTGGTCGACTCAACTCAACTCGACTGGATCATGCAAGAAACTGTGAGGGGCGAGAAGATGACCATATGCTGGCTGGACCGATGAAAAGACCACAGAAGAAGATTTGGACTTTGTCGATCATGATTTATGTCTAGTGTCTGGTCGCAGAAGCTCGAAAATCTACGGGCGAAAACTAACAAGTTGGCAGAAGAAACGAGGTGAGGCAGCATCGGAAAACAGGACTTCCTTGAGGTGAACGTAGAGAAGACAGAGGTGATGAAGGTACCCAACCAACAACAGCAGCAACAATAACAACAAAAGCACCAATCACCACCCAAATGCAAATTTTTGCTCCAGGACTGGTCTTCAGCGGTACCGCGGTTAACGAAAGAGAGTGAATTGGTTGAGTGTATTGACCACTTCACTTACCTGGGAAGTAGGATCAACCCTGGTGGGTTTGTCGCCGATGAGATTTCTGCACGGATACAAAAGGCTCGATTGGCTCTTGCCAATTTGCACCACCTATGGCGCCACCGTGATATTCGTTCGTCTATTAAGGGTCGCGTGTACTGCACAACAGTCCGGTCTGTCCTACTGTATGGCTGTGAAACATGCCCATTGAAAGTGGAAGATATAAAAAGGCTTCAGGTGTTTGACCACCATTGCCTTCGTAGTATAGGACGTATTCCGTAGTGTCACCATGTGAGTAATGCAGAAGTTAGGTGTAGAGTTTTGGGAGAAGAGGTAAGTCAGTTGACGAGGTTGTGAACCTTCATCGACTGAGATGGTTGGCTCCGACACGTACTACGTATGCTTAGTCACCGATTGCCTCGTCACACAATGTTGGCTGAGGTGGGTCCAGGCTGGAAAAAGGCCCGAGGTGGTCAGACTAAAACATGGCACCAATGTATGAAGTCTCTGACTGTTGGTTTAAGCCATGTAGGACGATGCAGACTAGGTGGTTGGGGTCGGTGGGACAAGAGGAACCAGTGGTTGGAGACCCTAGGTGATATGGCTCAGAACCGAAGTCAGTGGTGCAGATGTATACACACATTATCCTCATCTTAACAACGTTATACCGAATCTCACCATTTTGTCACTCCTCTTTTCTTTCTTCTCGTACTTTATATTTCTTTTGACTGCATTCACTTATCTTCATCCTTCACCTCACTACCTTTTTACTTGATGTGCTGATATGAGGTGTGGCAACTCAGACCGTTACGCAGTAATGCCTGGTCCTATGTTGATAATGATGATGATGACCAATCACCATGAACGGGAGAAATCTAAACGAAGTTGTCTCTTTCACCTACCACCTACCTAGGTAGCATCATTCCACCTACAGGCGACTGCACAAATGAAGACGTCAAGGCCAGCCAATATCGGAAAGACAGCAAGACAGGCATTCATTAGTCTGAAATCAGTGTGGAGATCTACTGCACTGCACTGCACTACACTACACTAAACTACACTACACTGCACTACACTTCAGTGCAGTGCACTCAGCATAAAGCGTGAAGAAGATGCGGATTTTCCAGACCAGTGTTAGTCAAGTAAGGCAAGGCAGTGCTTCTATGTGATGGTTGAGAGAGGTGGCGAGTTACGAGAAGCGTTTCGAACAAATTGCAGACATAGGTTATCAACAGCTGTCGCCTACGCTCACTTGATACTGACACTGAAGATGAGATTAGATGGCCAGAATAATAAGAATAAGCAACAAGGAACTCTGGCTGGCTGGCTGGCTGACTGACTGGCAACGAACCAACGAAGCGAGAACCCATTACCCAACAAATATGCAGTGGAAGAAAGTGGAGATGGATTGGACATACAGTGAGAAGACCGATAGGGAATATCACGCACCAGAGCAGACCAAACCAGACTGTCGAGTGGAAGCCAAATGGGAAAGTACGAGTTGGGCGTCCCAACTGAGGGTGACATGGAGGAGATGGTGTGAGTAAGAAATGTAAGGTTGTTGGTAGTCGTGGAGCCAGGTTGAGAATACTGCATAGAAGAGAGTGAAATGGCGATGTGCTACTGAAGTCCTATGTTCCACTAGGAACCTAAGGAACAAATAATAAATAATGATAAAATCACTTTCTGTAGATCTGTAATCCACTCAGCAGGTGGAAGACGTGTGATGATGTGATTTCATAAGATAATTTCACTAATTGCAATGACCGTTTCTGTTATGTTTTGTTGGATATTCTGACTTGAATCAACTATATTCATAATTATAATGTAGCTGAATATACACCGGGGAGTTGTACATTTAACTTCAGATGTATGTGTGCATCGCAATGAAGGATACCTGACAACTAATCGACCTTGTATACATTCTTGTATTAGGCTGCCAGCCACACGTATTTTGTTAATACTGTTACCTGATTAATCATACGTGAAGATTAGGATCAAACTTACACTTTGTTAGTTCATTGTATCCTATTTAGTCAACTGACATAACCTTTGATGAAGATCTTGTTGGTTCATATCCGATAATATATCAGATTTTCTGTGCAGCACTTCCAGTCCACTGACCAATATGGTCCTAGTTAACTTCGGTAGTAATCTTCGTATAAAGCTCTTATTAGTTTACCCGATGGAATAGGTCAACTCAACATGATTTTTTTATGCACAGTGTGCATTTCGATTTTCTCGAAAAATCTCCCTCCTTTTTTTCATCTACACTAAAGATGGAGAATTACATTGGTCAGGAAATGTTATCAATGCATTTATGAAGCAGAAACATCGTATGCTATGGGAAAAACGTAATGGTCCAATTGGTGGTAACAAAAAGAAAAAAATATTTGAAGCAGCTGAAAAAGAGACTGAAGAGAAAGATACGCTCACTAAAATATATGAACTTGGTTATCGTCATAAAGTACCCAAAGAAATCCGTATTTGATACATTCTGTCTCTGTCAAGAACCTAGTAAGTAAAGCATACATTTTGTTGTTAATACGCCTAATGAAAATCAATTAATCCCTATAAAGTTCCATGTACTAGACTACTACTCTTCATTCTGTTTAACGGTTGCGCTATCATTAGGTTGTCGAAAGCTCGATGGATTAAGCAGGTTTGGAAACTTTAGTCTACTGACTGTAAGGAGAGACTTTAAAGGCCATCCTACCAACTACTACAGTAACTAATCATATCTCACCATTTCGATTGGAAAGGTAGATTTTCATAGAATAGAACCACCCAATTGGTTATGTCAGCAGTTGTTTGAGTGACCTTTAAGGTCACTCATTTGAAAGTTGGTTCTTCAAGCTGATGATTAACATGTTTACCGCTATTTGAATTTTTCACAGCTAATTCATACTCATGTCCTGATAACCTTGAATTCAAAGTAGATATTTTTATGGAAAGTTAAACCACTAGATAAACTGATATACGGTAGCTCACCATAACAGCAACTGAAATAACCAATTAGACTTTTCTATTTTTTGAAAGTCTAACTTTCCAGCCGAAATAAACGAAACTAATTGGTTACTTCAGTCTTTGCTAGGGCATTGGTCTTTAGAGATTACTCAATTTTGTTCTCTTTAAGCATCCTAAAGACGAGAATAGCAGCTAATCAATCTTGAATTATTTTCATCTGACAATTTACTATTCTTATTTGTTATAATTTGTTACAGCAACCTTCACTATTTTCGATGATAGTAGTCAATGTAAAGACATAACTATATTTGATCGTCGTTGATTTCTAAGGTGTATGACAGTAACACTGAGTGAAAAATGTGTAATATGTAATTTTTAGACATTTAAATGATTAAATTTAATCAGTTCCTGAAGCTATAGACTAATTTATCTAAAGTGTATTCGTTACCTATCAAATCATTGCATACCTTTATATGACTAGTGTACAATCAGATGAAGTAAGCTTTGTATTCTTTTTATATAGTAGTCTAAATATTAATATGGTTAATTTTGCTAAATGAATCTGTGATTCAAACCTTTGATTACTAACCATCCAACTTTCGTTTCATTTTTCTCCTATGATATATATATATATATATATATATATATATATATATATATATATATAACAGATTTTAAATAACTTTTCGAAGATCTAGACAACAACTGTATGTAATTGAGGGGAAAATAGTGTTTACTTTTTATTTACAATATGATAGCTAGATAACGTTAATTTTTAAAGAGAACATAGAATGACTGAAATAATGAGCAACGAATAAACGCCTACTATTCAACTGTTTTATGAAGTAGGATTGAGTTAAGAAAAGGCATATAGTGACAATATTAAAATGTGATACCAATCTTTGATTGTTAATTTCAGCTGTATAGAAATGTATACACTGTCTAGTTGTTGTCTTAGAGATGGTAAGAATCGACGGTTGGAGAAGCCTAGCAACGTGGCTGAAGATCAGTTACAATAGCGCATATATATATATATATATATATATATATATATATATTCACCTTGTGACATAGTAAAATTTATTTTTGAAATCTTTTCCCTTCCTATACACTATTGTCTACTTTGATGATATCAGTCCTTTTCTAGTCATTTATTCTTTTCATCCTGCTGTGTCATGTGGCCATCATGTATCATTGTATTTTTGTGTGAGAATCTACGTTGATTTCTTTCTATCTATCTTTTATTCAACTCTTACTTGTCCCTAGCTACCAAAAATGCCAATCACTAGAATTAACAGGTTAGTAAATTAATAGTAGAAATAATGATGTTGTAACACATCTCTTCCATATGTGTATACCCGGTCCTTAGTAAAGTGTTTAATGAACAGCACACTAAACACACTGATCAATAAAAAAAAAGTCTAGCACAGAAATCATTCAGTCTAATAGAGTAGCGATTGTTACTCAGCACTAGTGTTTAGTTAACCAGATGGATAAGGCATCATAATTTCATTTGAAAACAAAGGAAAGTACTCAAAAATCTTGTGCACATTCGTGCAGTAGGCAATAATCTATATTTTATATGAAAGCTAATGATACTATCTAACCGCCCATTCCTCGGTTAGTGGAGCGGGATATGAACTTCTGAAGCATTGATTGAAGATCAGCTACCTAAATGAATAAAAACCACAACTCCACAAAGAGGGATATAAAGAAAATATAAGTATGCAGTACTGATACTACTCACAATCAAGCTAGCTAAACTGACAGCATGTTCAACACTATATACAACTACTCTATGTCAAAAGTTAGTAAGATTTCTCTTTTAGAGAAGTATCTTTAATATTATTATAGACAATAGCATGATGGTCAACAAGTCATAAGATAATATTTTATATATTAAATGTTCTGAAATGTTTTTTTTCTTTATAAAAAGTCACTAACAGTAACCAGATTAGTGAATTTTTTTTTCAGTTACAACTTCATTGACACACAGATTATACTAGGTGACGATTGAAGGTGAGATGAAAATTCGAACCGCGGCCGTATTCGAACTTCCAATCATCATCCAGTATCAGTAATACTGGTCTGCCAAACTACCGTTATCTCAGACAGTCAAATGATAATCAATATAATGCTCCCCCTCTCTAATTCACTTCGATTTGGATTTGGATGAGAAGTCCTGACTAGGCAGCCAGTGTGAATACCATCAAGCGGCGGTAACGCCGCGTCATGCATTCACATGGTAGTCGGACAAAGCCCTTGGTGATTGAGATGAAATAAAAATCTGGTCAGCAGTCGGACCTCGTAGCTCAGTTGGTAGAGCACCGGGCCGGTAACGCGGTAGTCGCTGGTTCGAATCCGATCGCGGTCCAGATTTTCATCTTACCTTCAATCATCACTCAGTATAAATACTAGTCTACCAAACTACGACTATCTTACACAGATTATAGCCGACAAGGGAGTGATGTGAACTTACTCACACACGTGATTAATTGATTTCATTACCAATTGTAATTATCAGTGAATGTTATACAGATTGGGTGGTTTACAAAAAACAACCCAATCTATGCCTTATTAAATATATATTCGTATATACAGAGTTTTCATTGCTAAACTTTTCAATATCAGACTACACTGCCTTATGATTGAGAACTGCTCCATGTAGTTTAAATTCACAGTCTGAACTACGGAAGTCATTTGACTGAAGAAAAAATATTCTTTTCGATAACCCTTTCTTCTCCAGCTTCGATATTTATATGAATATATTGACGAATTATCGGTCAACGCTACTGAGATTTCGCTCACCAGTTTGTTATTAATATTATACGCTTGAGGAACTTAATTTACAAAAGATTTGGGTGGACGCTAATGATAGAAACAATTCTTTATTCTTCTTAATATTATTACTATTATTATTTTATTATTTGTTTCTTGGGTTCCTAGTGGAACATAGGACTTCAGTAGCACGTCGCCATTTCACTCTCTTCTATGCAGTATTCTCAACCTGGCTCCACGACTACCAACAAGCTTACATTTCTTACTCACACCATCTCCTCCAGTCAGCCAGAGTTCCTTGTTGCTTATTCTTATTATTCTGGCCATCTAATCTCATCTTCAGTGTCAGTATCAAGTGAGCGTAGGCGACAGCTGTTGATAACCTATGTCTGCAATTTGTTCGAAACGCTTCTCGTAACTCGCCACCTCTCTCAACCATCACATAGAAGCACTGCCTTGCCTTACTTGACTAACATTGGTCTGGAAAATCCGCATCTTCTTCACGCTTTATGCTGAGTGCACTGCACTGAAGTGTAGTGCAGTGTAGTGTAGTTTAGTGTAGTGTAGTGCAGTGCAGTGCAGTAGATCTCCACACTGATTTCAGACTAATGAATGCCTGTCTTGCTGTCTTTCCGATATTGGCTGGCCTTGACGTCTTCATTTGTGCAGTCGCCTGTAGGTGGAATGATGCTACCTAGGTAGGTGGTAGGTGAAAGAGACAACTTCGTTTAGATTTCTTCCGTTCATGGTGATTGGTGCTTTTGTTGTTATTGTTGCTGCTGTTGTTGGTTGGGTACCTTCATCACCTCTGTCTTCTCTACGTTCACCTCAAGGAAGTCCTGTCTTCCGATGCTGCCTCACCTCATCTCTTCTGCCAACTTGTTAGTTTTCGCCCGTAGATCTTCGAGCTTCTGCGACCAGACACTAGACATAAATCATGATCGACAAAGTCCAAATCTTCTTCTGTGGTCTTTTCATCGGTCCAGCCAGCATATGGTCATCTTCTCGCCCCTCACAGTTTCTTGCATGATCCAGTCGAGTTGAGTTGAGTCGACCACGATCAGGAAGATCATCGGTGATGGATAGTGGGCAACCTTGTCATCTTACTCCTGTCTTCACTTCACTTCACAGGCACCACTGAGCTTTGCAATGTGAATCACTTGGCATGTATCCTTATCATATAGCGTACAGCTATCGAATGAGGTTGATAAAGGTTTATGGCACACCGTAGTGTTGAAGCAGCCGCCAATTCTTTCTGACATTCAAGTAAAAATAGTTGATTGTTTAGGTGACTATACTATGTATGTAGCTCTAGCGAAATGTCTGATCCAGTATTCTTGAATTTTTGCACAAGCAACATGTAGAACATTGTGTGAAATGTGTTTTTGAATTTATTGACGTAATAAAACCATGATATTACTGGATGTAACGTCTCTCTCTCTATTCACCAATGTTCCTATTATTGAGGTGGTGAGTGATATAGATGGACAGTTTGAATAAAGGTCTATCAATATTGGAATTCCGGTTGGTGTTTTCAAAGTATTATTGCTCAAATCCAGAATGAATGTTGAGTTTAAATTTAGCGGTGAACTGTACAGACAAGTGAATATAACCGCAACGGGTTTGCAGTTGGGTCCCATATTAAGTAGACTTTTTTATAGAAACTAGAGAATGGTTTACTTGGACAATCTATCAGGGAATTTTCATTTTACTGTCGATATGTGGGTAATACCTTCATCCTGTGCGAAAAAATTATGAATAGGTCAATGATACTTAGCAGATTCAACGCAGTACACCCAGCGATGAAGTTTACGGGCAAGGAGGAGTTAGAAGATAAAAGTAGCTTTTCTTGATGTTCTCTCAAGATGAACATATGGGTCGATAAGGAGAGATTTATTTAGGAAAAGCAGAACAGAAGAAATTCGAGAAAGACTAAGTTGCTGAATAAAGACGTATATTCAGAAGAAACCACTCAGGAGGAACTGATAATTTCGAACAACACACTAGTGAAAAATAGCTATCCCGATAAATTCCTAAAGAGAAATATGATTACAGAAATGGCAGTTGAACTGTGGGTCATTGGTTTAGGGAATTGACTTTCAACCATTGAGTTGCGGTTTCCAACATCTCCACCTACCGAAGTTTAGGCAGCCAGGTGGTACTATTAGCGCTCATACAATAAGTGTGGCTCATCGTGTACTGCACGAAGTACAGTACAAAGTTGCTAAGTGTATTCCGATTCTGATTCGACAAAAACTGCAGGAAAGGATATTCCAACGGCCATCAAGAAACTGCTTTACATTTAGGTACAATTCAAAGGTGACGTGCTTAATGAGATATTAATTCACAAACTACGCAGATCAGTTCAGAGAACTTTTAATGCTGGTAAATTACAAATTACGTTCTCCATAAGTGCAACAATGACACGGAGACTGAAAGATGAATTGTGTAGTGTGTCCACTTCCTATTGTGTTTCTCGGTCCTATTGCTCTTTGGGAGCCAGTTACATCGGTTGCTGCTCTAGGAATTTAATTTTCCGTGCTCACGAACACCTCCCAATATGGTTAAGCAAAGGTGTAGTATATGCCATAACCAGCTGCATTTTGGCACTTGATTCAAACGAACCGAAAGGTAGATATGAATAAGTTGGTTTCTATTCTTTATCGAGTTCGCATCAACTTTTCAAAAGGTATCCGGCTCCGAATCCTTCAGACTGCAGAAGCAGTAGCTATCAGGATCAAATAAAAAGCAAGTATTGCCGCTAAAACTACTATCGCCCGGTTCGGGATACAAATTCTTTAGCATTTTCTTCTAGGTAATCTCATTCCATACTGTAGATATCCTTTCATCCATATAATCTGGAATAATTTCAACAGATTATCTTAACCTTTTTTATCCCCCGATTTGAGTGACATTCTCTCAAGCTATTATTCGTTAAATTATCCTTCCTAGTTTATTTCATCTAACTCTCATCAACACTTTCCTATTGTTTTATTCAACTATCACCTTATAGTACTACGTATACAGTATTTTCATTTACATAAATGAGTTATTTTGATTTGAGCCTGTCATCAATGTTTACCCAAAATTTTTCTGATTTCACTTTCTCAACTGTATAATATTAATAACATACTAGTAAGCGAAATCTCAATAGTGTTGACCCATAGTGTCTAAGATCCTAGGTTCTATAATTCTCCGACGCCTGAGTGGAGCTCGAGAACACCAAGCCCGAGAAAACCAGTTAGGCTTTAAACCTGGCCGTGGATGTATCGACCAAATATTCACACTGCACCAGGTCCTGGAACATAGGCATGCTTACAGACGCCCTACAATAGCTGTATTTCTCGACCTGAAGGCGGCATTTGACTCCGTTGATCGAGAAGTCTTATGGCAATGTCTGTCACTGAAAGGCGTGCCTAGTAAGTACATCACGTTATTGAAAGCTCTCTACTCGAACACTTGTGGGCATGTTAGAGCCTATGGTGAGTTGTCCAGGGATCTATACTCATCAAGTGGTGTCCGTCAAGGGTGCCCACTATCTCCATTCTTATTTAATTTTATCATAGATATTCTTATGGAGGTTTCCCTCTCGTCACCTGATTACACAGACGTTGACTCAATCACAGGTGAATTTTCTTTAGATCTAGAATATGCAGATGACATAGTCCTGTTAAGTGAAGACGCTGACAAGATGCAGAGTCTTCTGAACACTTTGAGTGGGAATTTGAGAATGTTTGGGATGCGATTTTCACCACCCAAATGCAAATTTTTGCTCCAGGACTGGTCTTAAGTGGTACCCCGGGTTAACAATAGAGAGTGAAGTGGTTGAGTGTGTTGACCACTTCACTTACCTGGGAAGTAGGATCAACCCCGGTGGATTTGTCGCCGATGAGATTTCTGCACGGATACAAAAGGCTCGATTGGCTCTTGCCAATTTGCACCACCTATGGCGCCACCGTGATATTCGTTCGTCTATTAAGGGTCGCGTGTACTGCACAACAGTCCGGTCTGTCCTACTGTATGGCTGTGAAACATGCCCATTGAAAGTGGAAGATATAAAAAGGCTTCAGGTGTTTGACCACCATTGCCTTCGTAGTATAGGACGTATTCCGTGGTGTCACCATGTGAGTAATGCAGAAGTTAGGTGTAGAGTTTTGGGGAGAAGAGGTAAGTCAGTTGACGAGGTTGTGAACCTTCATCGACTGAGATGGTTGGGACACGTACTACGTATGCTTAGTCACCGATTGCCTCGTCACACAATGTTGGCTGAGGTGGGTCCAGGCTGGAAAAAGGCCCGAGGTGGTCAGACTAAAACATGGCACCAATGTATGAAGTCTCTGACTGTTGGTTTAAGCCATGTAGGACGATGCAGACTAGGTGGTTGGGGTCGGTGGGACAAGAGGAACCAGTGGTTGGAGACCCTAGGTGATATGGCTCAGAACCGAAGTCAGTGGTGCAGATGTATACACACATTATCCTCATCTTAACGACGCTATGCCGAATCTCACCATTTTGTCACTCCTCTTTCCTTTCTTCTCGTACTTTATATTTCTTTTGACTGCATTCACTTATCTTCATCCTTCACCTCACTACCTTTTTACTTGATGTGCTGATATGAGGTGTGGCAACTCAGACCGTTACGCAGTAATGCCTGGTCCTATGTTGATAATGATGATGATGATGATGATCATAATTCCTCAATGAGTTCAGATAACTGTCAAAGCTGAAGAAGAAAAGGTTATTGAATAGCTTTTGAATTATGTTAGGGGTTTCTTAGGATTTCAATTGCAATTGTTCATCGTAGTATAATATTTTTCAGTTTATGAACTCATGAATTTCGCTTATAAATTTATAATTTATGCATATAACTTTCAGTTGAGCATTTTATTTGAATATTTACGCTTCTTTCTTTTGTCTTTTCATCTCATTAGGTTCTCCTCAGTATATATCAGGTGTTGAATTTGTTTAGTGATCTTTTAGTTCACAATTCAAGTTTCTTCTTGTAAATCATTTGTTAATATAGTTGATTTTTAGTAGATCAAAAAACTGATGTTTACATTGTTGATACTTTTGTTGAAGACCTTGTCGTTTTACTGTTGAACATAGTTGAGTTCAATGAGTTCATATGCACCAATTACAGAGTGCTTTTCACCGTTCTTATAGGAAAGTTATTAGGAACAATGATTAAAATTGAAATGATAATAAACACATATATTAAAACTAGAGTTGTATTTTTCTAATAAAATAACTGAAATCTGGAAGATAGATCATGGTATTGAGTGATGCAAATTTGTGTGTCTGTTACCAAGTATACAAACCTTTTTTCTCCCATTGTACTCGTTTACACGTGTGTTCACCGTTGAATTTTTCAGTGTCTGTGTTTATATTGTTTGTATTTTGTTTATTTTTGAAAATATTGTTATTAACTCGCTATATAAAAACGTTATGATAATAGGTGGTTGGAAGCAATTGGTATTGTGAAAGGGCTTCGGATACCTTATACTGCTAGTAGGACTCAAAATGGCTGTATTTATGTCTACAGTCAAAAATATTTTTCAAGTTGTTATTCACCGTAGACTGACATCAGTTGGAAGAAAAAAAAAACCTGGGAGCACTGGACAGCTATTTCGTCCTGGTATGGGACTCCTCAGCAGTGCGCACCCACGACCCTGCCAGGGATAGGACCCGCGACCTTCAGGTTCCGTGACCAGCATGTCACCATTGAACCACTCGGTCAGAATTCAATAATCTGACCCGAAGGTCGCGGGTTCTATCCCTGGTGGGGTCGTGGGTGCGAACGGAAGTGAAGTCCCATACTAGGACGAAACAGCTGTCCAGTGCTCCCAGTTTTCTATGTTCCTCCAACTGATGTCATTCTACGATGATTAACAACTTGAAATATTTCCAAATCTCCACAACTCCCTCAAAAATATTTTTGCCGATGATGAGTTTCTCAAAACAAAAAAACCTACTGGAATTTCTACTTCATTGCAATAATTCTATGTAAATTGTTTTATGTGTTTCCATGTAGATCAACCCCGTCGTTCTACTAGCCGAAATGCATACAATCATTCGTACATATGTTTTTCTTATCAAATCATCTAAGATTACATGCCTTTTTAGTCATTAGAAGTCGTACAGTTCATAATAATGTACAAAATATGAAATAAGTTAGTTTAATCAGCAAATGAATTTACAAATTATCTGATGGGGCATCAGCCATAACTTTACTTTCATCACTAAGGATAGACGTCATCTTGTTTTTGTTCGTCACTACCTGACTTGATCTCTTGTCGGATGTATTTTGAAAAGCTGTGAATTTAAAATGGTTCTTTGACTTGGACCTGAAATGTAGAATTGATAAGCAGTATCCACTAGATAAGCCTCCAACCAATTCTGATTATCTGAAGAGGTTCCAACCTCCTTCATCGAATGATTTTAGAAAATTTGAATGTAAAGTAACATTTAATCTAGTAAAACACTTGAATGTGAGTGTTATCAGTAGGGAAGAATTAACTTCCGTCAAAAAACTTATGGTGTCTGAATTACCTAATCTTTACGGATTGCATAAAATTAACAGTCCTTTACGTCTTACACCCTCCATTTGTCGCTCCTCGACACACAAACTGGTGAAATGGTTAGTGAAAACTTTAACTCCTATTCGAAATAAATTACGTAAGTTTCCTCTGAGAGATACATTTGAACTTGTTAATTATCTTATTGATATTAGTTAGTTTCAGAGACAAGGCTTCGCATTCCTTTGATGTCAACACCTTATTTACCAATGTTCCTCTAACTAAAACCATTGACATTCTTTGTGACCATATATCTCTCAGTACTTTTTCTTTCTCTATCCTTTCAAAATGTTTGAAAGAGCTGCTATTATTGTGTACTGATAACATCCATTTCACATTTGAAGGAAAATATTATCGACAAATAGATGGTATGGCCATGGAACGTCCCCTAAGACCATGGCTAGCTGATATTTAAGTCATATACTGAAGGCCTGACTGGTGATCTCTATAAGAGACATATTGATGACATAATTGTGATATGTTACAAGCATGAAGACGCAACATATTTATTAGAAAACAATATACGCTTAACATGTGAAGAAGAGAAAGACAACCATCTGCCGTTCTTGGATACACCCTGAAGTCGTAGAAAAGACGGTCCAATAAAACGGTTGATGTGCAGGAAACTTACTTGAACAGACCAGTATTTCAGTTTCTGTAACTTTTGTCAAATTCAATACAAACGAAGTTTGATAATGTGTCTGTTCCAAAGAATCCAGCTTATTTGTACGGAAGACTCAAGGGATGATGACATCCAAACACTAACCGAAATATCAGTAGAAAAATGGATATCCATTGAAGTACATATACCGTTGCAGAAATCAGTCAGTGTTGAAACCCAGTCTATATTCTGTTCCGAAGAAATGCGTTTATACCGCGCTACCACACAGGGAAATCGTACAGCGTAAATTTGAAATGAGGTCTAAGGTCTGCCGTTAGCAAAACAGATTATTCAGCTAGCCTTATCGTAGATGAGAAAACCAAACACGGAACTTAACAGTGCATAGACGGTTGCGTCACATCCCACTGCGTTTATCCATTTGTATGTGTATATGGGCACATAAATAGGGAGGTCTAATCGAGATATGTTTTTTTAAGGTGGGGAAGCATGTACCAAAATGGCTACAAGAAATTTTGGGTATATACACTAAGTTATGTCCGAAACGTTATCCAGTGTGATATTTCCAATAAACAGACAGATGGAATTACAATCTACCACAGTGCCCAAGTTTCACTTCTATATTAATGAAACATATGGTCTTCGAGAACTAGTCAACAAACATAGCTTTCCCAGACAGAAAGAAGCTGCACAAACCACCGTACATTTAATATCCAATGTCTTAGAAATCGAATTATTCCTAAGTGTCTATGTCTACGTGTAACAATTCCAACAGACAAAGTTAAAGCAGCTATAGAACGGACCAGTAAACTGTGCCTTAAGAAAGAAATTCATAGAATTGTCAGTGTTGAACGACAACAGGAACTATATCGAAGAACTAAAATGTAAGCTGATAAAAATAGTTAGTGATAAAGATTATAAGCCTTTGATGAACAACTGCAATAAAGCAAGACCAGCTGCTTTCAAGAAATCCAAAACTACTCAAATTAAGAAGTCCAACAAACTTGAGGAAGAAAAGTATGCAGTCAACAATGGTAAAATTAGCGAAATCACATAAATGATCAATCAGGCAATTAGAGTCCTAAACTCAGCAGAAGTAAAGGTGTTAGAGAAAGGCTTTAACTTAAATGTAACAGTTAATGAATTGAAACCAGATGTTACTCTCAAAATAGGAATAGCATTGTGTTCAATAGATAAGACAATTATAGATGAGATTAGAGCACAGTATGCAATAACACTGAAACGTTGGGAGAAAACTGACCTGATATGAACATAGACAATTAATTATGCCCAAAACGTTGTCCAACTAATAATAGTGTTTCACTGCGTGACATTACTCATAAACAGACTAAAATGGATTCACAAACATCAGGTGGCAGACGACCATCGTCAATCATAACAAACCATATTATTGATTTAGGTCAAAGGATTGATATAAGAACAGCCTTTATACTTTTGTATAGAAACTGCTAGTGGGCATAAACTTCAGTTTATTGAAGCGCTAGTCATGCACAAAGTTAAGCTCGTGTTGTATGTTCAAAAACAATTTTTTCTTAATTTAGACTTATCGTATTACTGAGGTTGTCTTCAAATTTTATCTTTTTCCCTTCACAACTCTGTAAGCACTCAAGTTCCCTCGGACTACTACCCACCTCTTCCATCCTTACCTTCTTATCTTCCTTCACGTCTCTCAGTTAACAATCCTACATTATGTTAAATTCCTTCCAACCCTGCAGCTTGCGACAGCGATCTGAGTCCATACAACAGCATCACTTGTTTTCTTAAACCACACTCAAAATTACACATTAGAACCTTTAATGTCCGCATCCTCCGTCTAATTGGCCAACACTAGTAACTCGGACCATGGATGTGTACTGTGTTTGTGAGACATGCACACAGGACCCAACTACAGTTATTCACTTAACCTTTTGCGATCTTGCATGTGCAGGCATAGCATTAAGCACCAGAGCAAAAACTAACTACTAGACTGGATCCCAGTTGACAGTCGCCTATGCGGTGTTCGGTTGAACTGCACAATCAGGACTGAAATGAACAGTAAAACTAGTATTTTGATGATTACGTTATTATTAAATTCTTTTATTTCAAATTTGTCCTTCTCCCCCCCCCCTTTCCATTCTAGTTTCCACGTAAGGTGCCTTAACAAGTAAATGTGTGATCAGTTTGTTCGAAGTGTGTAGCACAAATACATCACATTTTTCAGATAAACTACGTCTTCTAATTACAGTTTCTAGATATTTTGTGTCCACACTTGATAAATATTACTTAGCAAGTTAATTATACACTAACCGAAAGATGAAATGCAGAGACTTATGAAAACTGGATCGAATTGTGCTATCTCTGTTGGCATTATCACTCACTGGGGTGGTTGTACTTTGCATATTCCCATCTGCTGCTCTACAACCTATTGGATATATTGTTTATGACAAAGAACAGGGCATAGAACGTACTCTCAATAATTGACAAGAATGTGTTAATTGAGATGAGAGATAATAAAGAGGTAGGCTGATCTAAATTAGTGAATTTGTTGAGGCTACTCAAAGGTTTATGCAATGTTAGAATGAGCATTCTAGGAAAAAAGGATAAAAAGGAAATCAGAGTAAATTTTGAAATCAATTGATAAGCGAATGAAAAACAGAGGTTAATGAGGTCGTAAAATTTTGTAGCTACGAAATTTAAGAACTTAAAAGTACCAAGATAAAAAGGATTGACAACAGTATCTTTCTGAATACATAGGTTTGTCTTTAGTCTTTTATTTAAAACTACTTCAGTAAAACACTAGAGATTGAGTTTCATATGCTACTTGATCACTTTGAAGGATTTCGACACAGATATTATGTCCAGTATCTAGTAAGTACCGAGTGACTGGACACAAATCCTTCTGGATACATTCAAAAATGCTAAGAAAAACCTTTTTTCTCTGTTTTTCTAATGCGTGTATTGGCGCGTACATGTGAATTGGTAGATATAATTTACGGTACGAAGACAGACACAAAACGTAGAACCTCAAACACAGGTGCATCAATTCAGTTGGCCACATTTTACAATAGTACACATAAAGCAGGTGGATAGAAAATGAGTGATATCAAAGAAGATAAAGTAATGTGAGAGAAAAAACAATCTGAAGATTAACTGTTAGTGTGTACTGATCAGAATGAATATAAGTAGTATATGTTGAGAGGGCGGCAGAAATCATAGGCAATTACCGGCAGTGGGTTAAGATTCTGCCCAGAGAAACTTAAGAAACAATGTGGGCCTATTAAGAGCAAGTCGAGATAGAAGCAGAAAAGGAAATGAAGCACATTGTGCAAATGACTGTTTTAGTGCAAGGTATCATATGATGACTACTATACAAGATGTCGATGATAAACATCTATCCCTTCATCTCAGTCTTATCGTTTTCGACAAGTGCAAATATGTAAGCTTCAGAAGATGTCACAGAGTGAGTACATTTGCACCATTGAAACCAATTCTCAGCCACGTCATCAAGAGTCCTCAATCACTGATTCCTATCATCTGCAGGGCCCCGGTCAGCTAGTTTAAAACTCTCAAATAGCTAAGATCAACAGTTAGGGACTTCATGGACTGGCACCACGTCTTTCTCTGGCCACCCTGAACCTTCTTCCAATCTAATCCAACTTCTCATAGCATAGAATGAATGAGTGAAAACCATAACGGATATACGAATAGAAAAAAATCGAGATTGTGCAACGGAGTTAAAGCACAGCATAGTAATGACAGTTTAATCAGACTACCTTTCTATACAGAGGTGAGGTCGTAATTTTTGAATTGCAATTGCCTCTATAATACAAAGTGGACTGTCTGTTCTCTACATACTGATTATCTGAGAGGTGTAATCAACCTCAATTATATTTTCTGTGCCATTTAGATGTCTGGCTATCTCAGCTGTATACCTTTCGTTCTTTCTCATCTACTCATATAAGTTAAGCAAATGTTTGTACTTGATGTGGATCTTCAATGGATATCTGGAATAATCTTGGAGCATCTGCCATAGTTACAGAGGTGATGAAGATACCCAACTAAAAACAAAAAGCACCAATCACCATGAACGGAAGAAATCTAAACGAAGTTGTCTCTTTCACCTACCACCTACCTAGGTAGCATCATTCCACCTACAGGCGACTGCACAAATGAAGACGTCAAGGCCAGCCAATATCGGAAAGACAGCAAGACAGGCATTCATTAGTCTGAAATCAGTGTGGAGATCTACTGCACTGCAATACACTACACTGCACTACACTTCAGTGCAGTGCAGTGCACTCAGCATAAAGCGTGAAGAAGATGCGGATTTTCCAGACCAGTGTTAGTCAAGTAAGGCAAGGCAGTGCTTCTATGTGATGGTTGAGAGAGGTGGCGAGTTACGAGAAGCGTTTCGAACAAATTGCAGACATAGGTTATCAACAGCTGTCGCCTACGCTCACTTGATACTGACACTGAAGATGAGATTAGATGGCCAGAATAATAAGAATAAGCAACAAGGAACTCTGGCTGGCTGGCTGGCTGACTGACTGGCAACGAACCAACGAAGCGAGAACCCATTACCCAACAAATATGCAGTGGAAGAAAGTGGAGATGGATTGGACATACAGTGAGAAGACCGATAGGGAATATCACGCACCAGAGCAGACCAAACCAGACTGTCGAGTGGAAGCCAAATGGGAAAGTACGAGTTGGGCGTCCCAACTGAGGGTGACATGGAGGAGATGGTGTGAGTAAGAAATGTAAGGTTGTTGGTAGTCGTGGAGCCAGGTTGAGAATACTGCATAGAAGAGAGTGAAATGGCGATGTGCTACTGAAGTCCTAGGTTTCACTAGGAACTCAGTGGACAAATAAATAATAACAATCTTCCTTAGTTACTGAGACACATTTAATTTATTCTATTCCAATGCTTTTGCATGCCGTCTAGTATTTGCTAGGTCTAGTACTATGGATGGCTGATATTGTGAGATGAAAGATGGTTCCATATTAGATTTGTTTATTTGATATAAAGCGCACAGTGATACAGTATTATTTACTTGATTACGTTCCGAGCATAAATTATTGCTCATAATCATATCAATGTGATATGATTATGATATGATATGATTATGAGCAATAATTTATGCTCGGAACGTAATCAAGTAAATAATACTGTATCACTGTGCGCTTTATATCAAATAAACAAATCTAATATGGAACTACATTCTACCACAGTGCCCAAGTTTTTCACTTATATTAATGAAAGATGGTTGTTTAAAGTTCGGTTCTCTTGGTGTATCGCAACTCTCTAGAGGGGATTGGATGGGTTACATAAGGCTGCAGCTGGAGATGGTATCACGTTTGACTCGGTCTAAACATTGTTGTATTTTTCCTGCATCAGTTTTTTCTCCAAAGCAGTCAATACTCCTCTGAATTTATCTTCTATGGTTTCACCCTGTCTTCCGATCATTCTCGTATACTTCTTTCTTGTGTCTAGATGCTGTTGTTACATTAGTATTCCAATTTTGCTTGGGGTATTTCCTTACTTTGGTTTGAATAAATTAGTTATCACAAGAAAATATGGAATACATCTGTAACCCATTGAAAATCTTACCCATTTACCCTTTAGTTTCGATTTCTGGACTACCTCACCTCTTCGTTGTCAACCTGTACCATTTGTTAGTTATCCTTAATTATTAAATGTAAGTACATCCTGTGTACTTGCTAAGTCGTCGGCTCACCTTTCTTCGCTTTCTGCTTTCCCTTCCAAATTCTCATGGTTACCATTAAATTCATGCTACCCTACGCACTACCCCCTGCAAAAAACGTATCAAAAGTTGGTCGTTACACACCTTTTTTCTGACTGTACAAATATTCAGTTTTTAATCTTGCTATAAACTATTCATCATTGATCACATCTAGATATTCATTTCTCAATTCCCCATTCTTATTAAAATGAATACATAGACCTCTATTAGCTTATATACTTCTTGTACTTATGGTTCAGTGTCACCATAGTTTTTTTCTTGGTTAGGGCTAGCACTATAATGCAGCGTGCACATTTCATCCCGTTTGGGATCACTAACTGGTTAAAGTGTATTGATATTTCATCTAACACTGTAACTAAGTGAATAACGCTGTGATGTTCGACGCATTGGTTTCGTGTATCAAATGGTATCATGGTTACGAGGAGGAGATAAGCTGGGTTCCACATTCTGATGCTAGTCACCCGCAAAAACAACACAAGTGTACTTCTTGTTTAACCAACCATCTTATCAATTTTTGTATATAAAGTGAGAGAAAAATCAATATCTGTTATATATTTGAATGGCCACAGTCTACTTTTGTTAAAAGGAAAGTGATAAAGTATGGAGTTTACTTGTCATGGCCCAAAAAGTTATTATTTAACATCAGCAAGACGACTAGAAAACATTACAAAACTATCATGTTCTGCAACATTACCAAAGTTGACAAAAACACTATATCCACACAAGCGCATCATTTCAACTGTTGGTTTCCGACCAGTCACATATTATTCAACAACTAAATTGGATTCAAATTATCCATTATCTCATTCACTTACTACAAGTAGTGAGTCAAAATTAACACAATTAAGCGAAATTTGTGGCTTACATGTACCATCTATGTATTCAGCTACACATAATGCATTGTATACACATTATACACCGAAAGATTGGCATACTGGTTATAATCATTTACTGCTAGTAAATGACAAAGATAAAAGAGATTCAGAATATCTACGAAATGATACAATCCGTTTGATTGATAATACAGATGAAAGGAGTAAAATGAATGAGAATGAATCAAGTCGAATTCTAGGTGATCACATATCAGATATTGTATTCTGGGAGAATGAATTGACTAATGAAATCGATAAAATGGTTAAAGAGAATAATAATTTAATACAAGCAAAACGAATTGCTGAAAAATTTTTAGTTGAAACTGAAAATCAAATATATATAGCCAAAAAGTGTTTGTATCATCAAGAGGAACGACAAGTAACTGATCTAGTGCATGATAATGTTGAAAAAGCTCTACTAGAAGTGAGTTTATTTTTGGATCCGTGCGTACTACTGAATTATTTGAGTAGTTTAGATACTGACAAACATTTTGTTATTCATCAATCATGTTCGTTTCGTGAACTTGGATACAGTAATAATAACAATAAATTTAGCAGAAAACAATCACGTCATTCTATTTCACTGCATCCTGTGCAGCTGTGTATAACCATAGCGTTAAGTATCAGCAATGAATAAGTTCTGGCATTCTTTATAATTTATAGTAATGGTGGGCAGTGGAATCCAGAATGCTCACTTCGTCCTATTTGGGACTCGCATCCTGGATTCCACTGCCCATCATTACTATACATAACTGAAACACAGGCAATATCGAGGCATCCTCACGGGAGCTCATATGCCAACAAAGACTGATCAATTCGGTCAAATCAGTGGTGGTGTAATACAAGCAATAACACTAAATTCTTTATAACTACTACGTTTACTTTCTGTTAGAAGATAGATGCTGATTCAAATGTATGGTTTGAGTATATAAGGCTGTGAGTATACAACAATACTTTTCTAGTGAATCCTTGTGTTAGTTAAGTCCTCTCTTGAATTAGTCAGCTGATGATGCGGATACCACTTCTCCTGCCAGTTTTGTTCCAAATAGTGGTTTCTCGACATGAAAACATGTACTGTACAGAGACGGCACTTGTCCTGTGCTTTTGTAACCTCCTGCTAACCCTATATAGGACTCGTCAAGTGGGTACACTTGCACGCCAGTGATTAATGTTGTTCGCAATGAGACTCAAATCCAGTACCGGCACTTCAAATGCCAAAGCTTCATCCACTAGGCCACTGAAGTGCGATAGCCACCACTTGTGCAACACTGTCAACTGCTGTTTATTGATACTTTAATTTATTGAGGGTGATTGCACAACTTCTGTACATCCAGCTGACGAGCTCAAGATAGGACGAAACGTGCCTCCTAGCTTCTACTGCTATCCATCAAATAGGCTACGAAAATACAAATGTTCTCTGTAAAGTTATTTGATTGTCAACAGTGACAAGACTTTCATAAGCTGACTGTACAGATGAAGCAATAAGAGAATAAATAACTCAGTAGGCGAAGGGTTGTCAGAAATCGTGACCAACTGGTCGAAAGTTGATTCGTTAAACTAACCAGCCGCAACTCTACACTTTCATGGCAACTAATATAGTTTACAATAACAAATTAATAATTGATTCCTGATCATTACCTATAACAGGAGTATCAGTCACACAGCGTTTACAGAAAGTAAGACTTTGTAATGTACCTTCCATTTAATTTCCAATCTAGATCTAATACCTCAGCTAACAGGGATTCAATAAGGCTTTTCATTGCAGCATCATTATTTCTTTTTAGTATGTTTCATTCTAAAAGTTAATTATAGTGTCATCTTAACATAATAGAATGAGTTTATTCATAGGAGCAACCGGTTATTATGGTATTTTGAATGTTATTTGTGCGTTCAGTATGCTTACTTAATAATAAGATAGTCTTTGTTACAATATATTCAGAAAGAGAGGCGAAACAAAGTAGACGTACAGCATGATCTTGAGATGCTTCATAAATGTGACTGTGGCTTTTTGAACTAGTCCATACTTTACACCTAACGGTTACTTAGTTTCTAAGGTTAAAGTAGATGGAGTCAAAGTGGATTATGACTGAAAAGTCAATGATTTAAAGGCTGAACTAATTAGTTACAATCTTATAAGGCTGTTAACTTTCACCACCAGGTTATTTCTGAATTTTTGTCGATAATAGAAAACATGAATAATGATTAGAAAAGGTGCCCAGAACTGATGTTGCTTCCTATTGAGGACTTGTTTACGGAATTTGTTTGCCTGTTAGATAGTGTTGTTATACTCATGCATACTCAAAACTATTACCACTACTTCAAATATTACAGATTTTCAAAGCTTACATTTCTTATTTACTAGTTTTCTTAGACTGAGCTGACCAAACATTTTGGTCTATGGACTTCCTGTGTTAATACTTCGTTACCACAGGTAATTTCATTATGACATAGTAATTCACAAGCCTAGTAAGTAAGTTTCTGTCTCTTGCAATCTGTATAACTGAGAACAAACTATACTCACTGGTAGGCAGATATATCCAGATGACCAGCCAAAAATATGAAACAATACTTGTCCTTGACCCCATTTCCAGAGACTATTCATCACTACTATCAAAATGAAATGATAAGCAATATTGGAGTGTCTCCATAAGGAACCCATATAGCAGCTGTTGCTAATTAAGTCAGTCCAGACAAGTGAAAAACAGAAATACAAGCTGCTACAAACAACTTTTGAATTTGAAAATTTTATCTTGACAAACTGAGACATATTATTCACTGACAAGCTGGGTTTATACATGTCTGACTGCAGTATTGATTAGTATTACAACAGCAGTAAATGAATGTCTTCATAAAATCCTCAGATCATTTGTTAAATCTTGATGTAAGCAATTTTTGTATCTTGGCAAACTAACTGATGACATTGCAAATCTTCACTACCTGAGGTTTGTTGGACAAATACTATGTATGACGACCCAAAGCCTTCGTCGACGTCGAATGCTAGGGAAAACTGGATTAGGTTGGAAGACGGTGCAGGGTAGCTAGATTAAGACCTGATATCAGTCGACAAAGTCTCTTGCTGTTGATGTAAGTCGTATTGGGAGATGTAGACTGCCTGGTTAGGGTTCCAAAGATGATCGGAACCAGTGGTTGAGAACTCTTGGTGATATGACTGAAGATCGGCTACAATGTCGCGGATGTATTCACTCCTTGATGTCTTCTTAAATATTCGTAATAACCTTAGTCTTCAAATTGTTTATTCTCTCACGCTACTTTGTCTACTTTGATATTGCTACTTTTCTATCCACTTGTTTCTGGTGTACTACTGTGAGATATGTCAACTTTAGGTGATGCACTTGTTTGTGAGGTTCTGCGTTGATTTAGTCTATCTAACTGCATTTCTTATCAAATGTTTCTAACACTGAAATAAAAAATGTATCAGGCATAGACGTTGGATTAGCAGTTAAGGCTACAATAACGGTGTATGAAATCATTGTTGGAGAGACATTTAAAACTGAATTCAAATGAAAATGCAAGCGGAATACATCAGTGAAAACCTATATAATAAACCAGCACCTTAGCTGAAGCATACGATACTTCAAAGTTATAAATTACATCTCACCAATGAAGTACGAGGTGAAATGAACGAGAATGAAGAATTGTCTGCAGAATTCTGTGCATTCGACGATTTGGTTATTGGAGGCACTGTGTTCAAGCACAAGGATATCCACAAAGCGAGCGACATGGATTTCACCAAACACCAGGACACACTAAAAATCAAATCGACTTCATTTCAATGTGACACTTGACACAAGATCAAAAAGTGGGGCAGATGTGGATTCACAGTGCTCTCCATCCAGTCCAAGGAACCTACCTTCCAAATCAAGTTGAAAGCCTTCAAGGAAGCTGGTGATAAACCACAGTTCAAATTCAACACCCGGAAACTGAAGGGCGAAACTACAAAGTACATCTTCACGTCAGCCATCGAGATAAAATGGGAGATATCGAGCAACATCCCTGAAGAAACCTGTGTGGAAGAACACTGGAAGTCTTTGAAAGCTATGTGGAAAGAAGCCTGCACAGCCGTAATAGGAAGGAAGAAGAAGTGAGACAGAACAAGGAATGGATCTCGACGTACACATGGGAACTGATAGAGCAGGGAGAGGAGGATGGTGAAGCAGAAGATAAACGAGTGCAAAGATGAACGACAAGAAGAGGAACTGAGTACAACGAATAAAACACTACACTGGACAAAGAAGTGAAGAAGAGTGCACGGAAAGGCAAGAGACACTTCTACGAAACACTTGCAGGTGAAGCAGAACAGGCTGCAGGTAAGAGAGACCTGACAATATTGTATCAAATAACCATGTTGCTATCTGGGAAGAGATCAACACACATGAATCCAATAAAAAATGATGACAGAAATTTGATTGCGAAAGAAGAGAAACAAAGGAAACAATGGGCCGACCACTTCAAGAAGCTCTTGAATCGACCACTACCACCACCACCTGCACTTCGTCCAGAAATACCACCTACAGCCCAGCCACAGAACTACCAGTGAACACAAATCCTTCAACAAAAATGGAAGTCCTGAACGCCATAAAGCTACTGAAATGTCGGAAAGCAGCAGGACCATATGAGATCCCGCCAGAAGCACTGAGAACAGACGCTAAGACAACAGCAGCGGACATGCTCACACCACACCACTATTGCAGAGTGTGTGGAAGGAAGAGAAGGTACCTGTCTATTGATTGGAAGAAGGGTTACCTTGTCAAACTGCCGAAAAAGAGAGACCTGAATGTTTGCAAGAACTGGCGCGGAATCACTCTCCTATCCACCCAGTGCAAGCAAAATATTAAGCCGCATCATCCTGGAGAGGCTTAAGGATGCACTGGATTCAAAACTATGACCGGAACAGGCTGGCTGGCTGGCTGGCTGGATTCAGGAAGTACAAATCATGTGCAGACCAAATTGCAACGCTACGCCACACATCATCATAGAACAGAGTATAGAATGGCAGTCAACTCTACACCTCAACTTTATCGACTTTGAGAAGGCCTTTGACAGCGTCGACCGAGAGGTAATTTGAAAACTGCTTCAATACTATGGAATACCACAAACCTTTATCCGCCTCATCCAACAACTATATGAAGACGCCAGATGCCGGCCAAGTAATTTACAGTGAGAAGCTCAGTGATGCTTTTGAAGTGAAGACAGGAGTAGGAGTGAAACAAGGTTGCCTACTATCCCCCATGATATTCCTGATTGTGGTCGACTGGACTGGATCATGCAGCAAACAGTGGGGGCGAGAAGAGTGGGATACTCTGGACTGTGGAAAAGAACCTAGAAGATCTGGATCTCGCCAACGATGACTTGTGCCTGATGTCACACAAACTTGAAGATCTACAGGCGAAAACTAACAAGTTGACAGAAGAGGCGAGGCAGCGAAGGAAGACGGGACTTCAGGTGAATATAGAGAAGACAGAAGTGATGAAGATACCGCACCAACGACTCCAACAGCAACAAAAAACTCCAGTCACCATCAACGGGAGAAACTTAAAGGAAGTAACCTCCTTCACCTATCTAGGAAGCACTGTTTCAACTACAGGTGGCACAGACGAGGATGTCAACGCCAGTCAGGATCGGGAAGACAGCGAGACAGGCGTTGATTAGCCTGAAACCAGTGTGGAGATCTTCTGCACTAAACATAAAGCGTGAACAAGATCCGGATTTTCAACACCAACGTCAAGTCAGTGCTTCTGTATGGTTCAGAGACCTGGTGCATTACGAAAGTGATTTCCAACAAACTACAGACATTCATCGACAACTGCCACCTACGCTGGCTTGTTACTGAAGATCAAATGTCCAGAAATAATAAGCAACAAGAAACTGTGGGAACCAACCAACTAAGAACCTATCACTCAACAAATATGCAGAAAGAAATGGAGATTGATTGGGTTGGGCATACACTGAGAAGGCCAACTGGGGACATCACTCACCAGACCGGACCAGACCAAACCAGACCGTCGAGTGAAAGCCAAATGGGAAACGACGAGTTGGGCGTCCCAGCTGAGGGTGACATGGAGATGACATGAGGAAGAAATGAAAGCTTGTGGGCAGTCGTGGAGTCAGGTTGAAAAGATTGCAGAAAACAGAGTGGAATGGAGACGTGCTACTGAATCCGTATGTTCCACTAGGAACCCAAGCGACAAATAATATTATTATGAACTAAGATAGCATAGAGTTTGTTTCCGAAGATAGAAACAAGAGTGGTAAGGCAACTAATATAAGCGTAGACTAATCGAATTAGTTTATTGCTTCTCTCTTTCTTATTCTCATAGGTAATAAAAGCAGTTCAAAATACACAGGAACAATTACGCGCTTTCATCGACCGTGCAAACGTTCAAATACAGTAAGTTTATATGGCCTTTCTGCTGCAATACAACCATCTTTAAACGCTTTACATAATATATGTATGCTATTTCTTTTATTTATACCTTATTCAAACCTCTTATTAATGAAGCAGACACCGTTTTTATTAAAAACTCTGCATAGTTAGATGCAGCATGAAAGTGTTTAAGTACACCCTGTATGTGCGACTGCGAAGTGTGGGAAGCTGAGTAATTGCATAGTAATGTTTAACTGCATTTTAACAATGTCTTTCTGTCAATGAAATATACAGATAGACTATGTACACAGCTGATTGGCCAATTGCTATTTTGATTTTCCAGTTTTCTTCGTCTTCCATAATGTGAGCAAATATATTCTGTTCAAACATTCGAATGTTTCCTGACGAACACAAACGAAAGTCTTGAATATTTTTTAATCTACTCGATAGGACCTGTATCATTAGCGATTTCCTAATTTTTGTAATGATTTCCTTTTTTGTCAACGTTGCTCGTGATATGTCAGACAGGTAAGTAGAACGAACAAGTGTAGAATTGTATTGAATACTTCCAATCACTTTACAATAATGTCTGCATGCATGCACAAAAAATAAACAAAAGAGATCGGCATGAATAGGAATTAATGCGTTGAACTATGTTATTATACTTATATGAAATAAGACTAAAGAAATCACTATAATATTTCATCTATTGATACATAGGTTAAGTCTACACAGTGGCGGCTAGCAGTGGTATCCAGAATGCACATTCTGGGACCTATTAGTTGGATTTTCTAACATTTCAGGCAACGATGGTGTTCCTATTGAGACTATTATCCACCACCCATCGTTCCAAACACCAAAACATCATCTAACAGGCTATGGAGTCATGACAGTCATCTCTTATACAAAGAGTATCTTTGGTTACCGATTGAAATTCTTAATTTTTATTCTTATACTGAATCAAATTGATTAGTCTGTTTTGGGGCATGGGACGAAACACACGTTGTTCCATCACCAAGTAAATAATATCAAAATGAAACCTGATGGAATATTAAAGTATCCGTTCAGGGAACCCACAGGTAATGCGGATCAATCAGTTCAACGAAATATATTAATACACGTGAAATGTTAGTTATCAATAAGCTTATGTACAAAACATTTTAATAAGCAGTATAATTGCTTGTATTATACCGTCGTTGATTAGACCGAATTGATCGGCCTCTATTGGTACATAGGCTCTTATGTGGATACCTCGATATTGCCTGTTTTTAATTATATATAGTGGTAATGATGGATAGCGGCTAGCAGTGGAACCCAGGATGCACATTTCGTCCTATTTGGGACTCGTCAGCTGGATGTACTTGCCTCCGAGTGAGTGATGTTCCCACCGGGACTAGAGCCATCCGCACAGGAGCCCAGATGCCAGTAGAGGCCGAACATTTCGGTCCAATCAACGATGGTATAATACAAGCAATAACACTAAAACTATACCCGTTTCACAAGAAGTGGCTATCGTGGCTCGGTGGTGTAGTGGATAACGCTCTGGCGTTCTAAACGATCCCTCCTGAGTTCAAGTCTCGGTGGGGACAATATCACTCACTGGGAGGCAAGTACATGAAGCTGACGAGTCCCAAATAGGACAAAATGCGCACCCTGGATTCCACTGCCAACCACTATCCATCATTACTATATTTTACTAAACAGTCTGGTTTCAAACAAAACAAGTGCAAAGACTTTTCAAAATTCTTAGGGCAAGTGCATTTAATAATTTCACTAACTGATATTGCTTTCTTCAGTAAAAATGTTTGAAGCAATAGTCAATTTCAAAGTTCCCAACAGTATATAGAGAAAATACTCACAAACTTTCATTCAGGGTGTTGTTGGTGACATAAGATGATCAATTTGCAAATGCTTCATTAATTGCACGGTCTGCGTTAACATACTGCAGACGCTTCTCATAAAGAAGAGACAGAAAAAGGATATCTATCAGGTACTGGAGTATGCAACGATTGCTGAGGTTGAGAGAATGCCAAGTATTTCAAAGCCGAAGCATTACACTGATTTCTGAAACTTCATTTCATCTGATTTATTAAACAGATCACACAGCAAGATTACTATTTATTGGATCACTTCTTGGACACAATTTATCGTCCATAGTTACACCAAGGTGATTCGTGAAATCTCTTTGAGGTCTGGTAGCTGTCTAGCTAGAACTCTCTAGATGTTGGCTGGAAGCTGTCAATGATGTAAAACTAAGTTGACCACAGTTACATCTGTGTTTCCAGACTTCCAAACAGTAGTTTCATCTTCACCTACTTCTGTTCTTTCATTATTCCCCTGTTTTATTTCATATCATTCTTCCTCTGCCAAGTGTGACACCCTGAAGTATTATGTTGGTCTGTCTATCTGCACCGACTGGGGCATGTTATGCATATGCGTATACAACCTACGTCTACATACGATGTTAATCGGTGTAGGACTAATTTGAAAGAACTGAGTTACATCATAGTCAGTACACTGAACCGGTGAATGTAGTCGCTAAATCTTGACCTGAAGCACAAGAACAAACCTGATGAAAACCACAAAATATTGGGAACCGTTGTTTGGAAACCCTATATCTACGTTAATTTGCTTGGTTATGGCTAGCAGAAGAATCCAGGACGCGTGTTCCGTCCTATTTGAGACCCGTAAGCTGGATGTACCTGGATCCCAGTAAGTGGTGTTGTTCCCACTGAGACTCTAACCCCATATCCATTGCTTCAAATGCCTAGGCGTTATCCACTGTGACACGGAGGCATATTGACCACATTTCGATCCAAAAAAAACAATGGAGAATTACAAGTATATCAATAAACAGTAATAACTAATGTCAGGTGTATCGTACGTCTGTGGCATAGTGGACAACGCTTTGAAATTTTAAGCCATGTGTACGAGGTTCTGGTCTCAGTGGGAACAACAACAACGCTGCATTGTAAGTACATGCAGCTGACGGTTCCCAAATAGGGTGCGACGCGCGTCCCAGATTTCTCTGCTGGCCACAACCAAGCAATTTATCATAGTTAACACTCAGGCATCCGCATAGGAACCCACTTGCCAATAAAGGTCGAACAAATCGACCCTCTTGTCTATCACACACATAGTCCAAATCTGCTGACGTTCTCTTTGAATAGTTCAATAAAGTTTGAGAACTTCAATCGGCTGACTTTTGTTGAAGGTTTTGCACTGTTATGTCTGTTTATCTGATGACTAATTCTAGAGAGTATATAAATCCTTACAAACATCAGACTAATAGTTAAGTAGTTTGATGGACTATTGTCTTTTGTCCTGATCTTCAGGAATTTCCTTCAATATTATGACATAATAAACAGTATCATTTTAGGGAAACAAACGTTTTTAGAAGCCTGCTAATTAGTCGAGAAACTATTTCTACGAATGGATAATGTGACAGATTTCTTATTGTTAAAGTTCACCGGGAACATTTGGTCACTAACCGATTCATATATTATATCATTATTGTTATAGTATGCATATTCATTGCGTTCATTGTATGCTCTGAAATATGTTTTAACCCTAAATTTGCAAATCAATCTTATGAAAGACTAAAATATTACACTCATTGACAATGTTATGGATACCAGTATTTAGTCAACTTTTTTGTGCTAAGCAAACTAAAGTAAAATTACTTTGACTCAGTCGAAGTCGAATTATGATTTATTACCTACTGTTAAATTAAAAATGAAAGCCCGTTTGAGCTATGCAGCAATATTCAATTTACCTGGTTGTAGGTTACAAGATGCCTGAAGAAGGCACTTCATCAGTCACTCTAATCTAATTAATCGTTGGTTTGAATCCAACCTCACCGCCAGACTTCCATTCCATCTTCAATCATCATAAATTATGAAAGATGTATTTGTTTTTTTGTGCAGTTCTATTCTATGTTAGACTACATTGTATCCTTCTCTACTGTCAGATTTGTGTGTATGCTGTGATAGCTAATAAATGATCCAATTACAAATGGTGTAAGCATTTGCAGGGAACTCTGTTGTTTGTGTTTAAATTTAATAGATCAATATTGACCTACTTTAAAATATTAACGCCTAAAGAAGTAGAACAGTTGCAGCTTTTCGGCCTAAGTACATTGGTTTGCAACCAATAGCATATCGCGGATTCGAAATAGTTTTCATTTATTGAGGTATTAGTAGTCATCACGTAGAAAAAGCAACTTATGACCTTGTCAATAAACCTTTCATCTCTACTACGTTGAATCAGAAGTTCTTACTACTTGCATAAACGCACACAAATTATCTCGGCCCACCATTGAGAAATGTGTTTTTGGAAACAGAAGACATAAGAAGACTCCAGGTTCTTAACTCTATTTCTTCGTACCATTATTTGCGTGTGATGGAACCATTATATGAAATATACCAATTCTAGACATGGAATGCTTGGCAAGAAAGACAAGTCATTCGGTGAGGATGTGAAGCTTCTACTGCGGTGATTGTGGACATGTACATAATGGAGAATATTTGTAGCTCAGGTAGATGGTCTTAGTTTTATTGTGTTCTCTGAGCTAGGTTGTTTAATCTACTCGATTTTCCATATGAACTGGAGTATGATAAACTTAGCAAAAAGGTAATCGGAATAAAGCAAGGACAAAGATATTTGCAGAATAAAATGAGCACACCGTCAACTTTCATCAACTCCAAAAAGCCTGCAAGTGAAATGAATATTAGTAGTAATGATGGCATAACATACTTAAGATATGTAGCAGTAAATGAAGATTCGAAATGCAGGATTAGAAATATAGTAGTACGTCAAGGATTTACAGGATTGATAACCATAAATCTAAGTGAAAATAAATGGCAATTTATGTCTGATGAGATAGAAAATTTTGGATTTGTGGAAGGTGGGGACAACAAACAAACAGCTAGACAAAAACCTGGTACTAATCCATGAAATATCTGAATTTTAGTCTGAACTTTGTAGGGGAATGTACACTGTCTGAATGAGATCATTATGTTGTTGAGAACTGATGGATGGAGACTTCCTGTAGTATCTTGGTTGTGTTGCGTTCTATGAGATAGGTGATTTAATGGCGAAGCGTTCATTGTCCCATGGACTAACTTCAGTATAAAGTGAGCTATGAGTATCACTGAAATATGGTTTAAAGTCCATCACTCCAGCTTAGATGCATTCACTTTTTACCTTCTTTACAAATCTGAACATTTGTAATGTTATTATGAAGCATAGAAACTTGATCTGATCCACTTTTGTGTAAGGATCTACATTGATTTGCCTGCCCATCTATTGAATATGCAATATTGACTGAATTATTCTCACATAATTAATCACATCTTTTTAAAATAATAACTTTATGGCATAATATTCAATACATTTTTCTTATTAAAACAAAAAAATTGAATACAGATTAAATCATGCAATGAAGTATGATTTAGAAGTAGACTTAAAAAACAAATTTACCGCTCAACAAATTGATGAAACAGCTATTGGAATGAAAAACAGTTCGGCTGATGTACACTATTATAAAGAAATTGAGTTAATTAATCAGTGGTAAGTAAGAAGTTAATTTATTATTATTGAGTAATTATATGTGCAAGTCTGGTCAGTGTGGAGATCTACTGCACTCAGCACAAATCGTGAACAACATCTGGATTTTCAACACCAGTTCAGTCAAGTTAGTGCTGCTATATGGTTCAGAAACTTGGCGCATCACGAAAAGCACTTCCAACAAACTACAGACAATCATCAACAGCTTCCACCTACGCTGGCTCGATACTGAAGATCAGATGGCTAGAATGATACGAATAAACGACAAGGAACTCTGGGAACGAACCAACCAAGAACCTATCACCCGACAAATCTGGAGTGGAAGAAAGTGGAGATGAATTGTATTAGGCACGCACTGAGAAGGGCCGATTGAAGACATCACGCGCCAGGCCAGGCACTCGAGTGGAATCCGAAGGGGAAACGACGAGTTGGGCGTCCCAGCTGAGGGTGACATGGAGGAGATCATGTGAGTAAGAAATGTAAGCTTGCGGACAATCGTGGTGCCATATTGAGAAGACTGCAGAGAACAAAGTGAAATGGAGGCATGCTACTGAAGCGGTATGTTCTACTAGGAACCGAAGAGGAAAAATAATAATAATATGTGCAAGTCTGGTAGAGTACATGTGTATCTTTTTTGCTTTATGACTATCATTTTACCCTATGATTATAATGACACAATAGTTGCTTTGTTCAATAGGTTGATAATAATACATCTCAGTTTCTTATATGTGGACAACTATCACTAAATAATGTTATTCAACCTTGAACAAATTTATACTGACTGATGAATTCAAACCCTTACCATACTCGATATTATCTCTAAAGGCAATCTGAAAGCAAATTAAACTGAATTTGACCTTGTCGAATAGTGAATAATGAGAAAATATTATATTCCATTCGATTCAATTGATTATCTTGATGATAGGTTTCACTAGCTTAAATGAAAGATGTAAAACTAAAATTTTCTAGAAAAATGTTCATTGTGGGGTAATATCAACTGAAGAACAATTAAAGTCATCGCATTTCAACATTCTATTACAATATATAACCATTATCTGTTATAACTGATCAGAATGAGCATTTTATTACCTAGCCAGCCATTCATAATTCGATGACTTCATTCTGCTATTTGTGGTAATTCACCACATAACAAGAAACTGTTATCTAATATCATCGCCCAGGGAAGACATCCTCAGTCATGAGGAATCACGGAAACCATAAGCATAATTCAAACAACAACATACTGCGATGTTTCTTTGTCTACGAAATGTATTCATCCTCAGAACAAGTTGAACTGACACAGATACAACGTAAGTTGTGAAAGGGATTCTTCTTCTTACTTTTAACTCGTCAAGTGATTGCTACGATGTCGTCCTGAGTATTGGTGCTGCTGACCGAATGCAAATAAAGTGTCAATCTCTTTCGAAATGATCACGAAATAGTACCCCTGATCTCTTCTTCGACCCAATGCAACAACAGGAAATTACAAGTATCAATAGATAAGACTGATACTCTTTGTACAAGAATGGGCTTCTATACCTCGGTTGCCTAGTTGATGACGTTTTAGTGTTTAAAATGATAGGTGCTGGGTTCCAGTTCCAGTGGTAACAGAGTGACTCACTGGGGTCCAGTCAAATCCAGCTGATGAGCTCCAAATAGGACGAAACGCGCAACCTGGATTCAACTACTAGCCACCAAGTGAACTGTGTTGTAATAAATGTCTAAGTGATAGAACTAGAAAACTAACTAGTCAGTGCAAGGACCTAAACAAGGAATTGAAACACGTAAAAGAAGCGCTAACAGTCAATAATTATCCTCTTCAGTTTATTAAGAAATCCGTACGAACACACAGAAAACGAAATAATAACAGTAGAAAGGAGTTCACACCCTTCATTGTGTTGCCCTATAAGGAAGATACATCAAAAACTTTACTTGGAATCCTCAACAAAGCTGGTATTAGGATGTCATTTAAACCTACGAACTCAGTCAGAGATAAGCTTTGTCGGGTGGCCTAAGGATCCGATAGAACCAATTGAGCAAAATAATCTAATCCATCAAATTCCATGTAATGACTGGGAGGTCAAGTATATAGGTCAGACTAGCTGGTCAGGGTCAGTTAGGATAGTCGAACATAGGAATTTATCTAAATATAGAATAGCAGACCAGAATAAGATCAATAATCTAAAAAAAACTCGACTATTGCAGTGCATGCATTAACGCACAACCACACAATATAGTGGGTGGGATAGAACCTCTGTACTTAAGTTGAATGTGATCAAGTGGAGAGAGGGGGATTGATCACTGAATCTTTGTTCATCGAATCAACCTTCACCCAACACATGTAACAGAAATGACGTAACATCTATACCAGAGATATGGAAAATTTTACTACCAATCGAAACAAAGAATAAGAGGTGACTGGACTATAAAAAGATGTCGATGTGATTACATCAAGCAGATGTCGATGTGATTACATTGATATGAGTATGAGCAATGGTAATTTATGCTCGAAACGTCATCAAGCAGATAATACCGTATCACTGTGTATTATAAATCAAATCAACAAAGCTAGTATGGAAACTTTAATGATGACATTTGTGTTTCTGACATTTTTCATTCGATTTCAACCCATATCAATTATTTGTTTGTTTTCGGTTGTTGTATGTTTGAAGCGATACTGTGAAGTAAACATGAACTCAAATAATTCTCAAAATCGTTGATGCCTATTTTAAGAACAATTTTTTAAAATGTTTGTTTCTCCTGTTGCATGTTTAGAAAATTAAAATGCCTGAATACTTAAGGAATAATAAGGTAATGATCTCCATTTTTTGAAGTTAGACGGAGATCCACTAGGTATCTAAGGTTAATAAATGATTCCTCCCCTTTTATATCAACCTTCTCTTGACATAAAATGCGATCATCTTTGAGATAAATAAGAGCAACATAGGACCTCGCATCACAGGTAGGTGTTTATACATTATAAATGATCTACGATGCTTATTGGTTAAGAATGAAAAGTGTATTTTATTGGTCGAATATAAATGTCCCCTTAACTTGAAATTATGAGTTTCAAACTACAGTGAAACTGCTGTTTAGTGTCTCCTGACCTTAAACAATTAACCAGTAGCTCTCATACAATAAAAAATAACAATAACATAATAACCAGTTCCCTGTAAAGTAAAACAAATGCAGACAGATTGACTAGTTTATTTTTGAATATAATTTTACATTTCATAGTATTTCAGTTCCAGAGAAATGGAAATCACACGTACAAGATTTATTAAATCGAAGTTGTGCTGAAAGAGCTGCAAGTCAAAAATCACGTGAAAATATTGGAGATGGTATATCTCGAATCAGTCAAAATCTTTCTGAACGCTGGAATGATGTCAATGAAGCTTTGGAGCAACGAATAAGTGAAGTAACTGATGCACGGAAAAGACTGCAATCTAGTTTAGGTTCAGTAAGTTGTATAAGTATTGATTATGTGGACTCTTTCAAGCTTACTTAGATTATGGGTTAACCTCGCCTAGTTTACTGGCCAGTCCTAAGCCCGGAAAAAGAGGAAAGGTTGGGCTTGGGGCTAGCAACCCCACCCCGGAAAACCAATCTAATCGCTAAATAAACTTTAAAGTATAGACGAAATATGAAAAATAAATTTATTCTTCTCTGGAATAGGGGAGACGAAGTAACGCCGGTTGGTGAAAGACTTCGGGAAGCCAATTGGCCGATGTGTCTTCTCTGGATGAAAGCAAAAGTAAACATAGGGACATGGAATGACCACACGGTTTGACTACAGGTGGCACAGAGGAGAATGTCGAAACCGGGATCCGAAAAGCAAGATAGGCTTTCATTAACCTGATATCAGTGTGCAGACCTACTGCACTCTACTCAACATAAAGAATAAGATCCGGATTTTCAATACTAATATCAGTCAAGTCAGTGCTTCTGTATGGTTAAGAAACTTGGCGCGTTATGAAAAGCATTTCCAACAAAATGCAGACATACATCAACAGCTGTCACCTATGCTCACTTGATACTGACACTGAAGATCAGATGGCCAGAATAATAAGAATAAGCAGCAATGAACTCTGGCTCATAACGGAACAACCAAGAACCCATCGCCCAACAAATATGCAGTGGAAGAAAGTGGAGATGGATTGGACTGGACATGTACTAAGAAGACGGTTTGGGGGCATTACGCACCAGACCGTCGCGTGGAAACCAAATGGTAAACGACGATTTGGGGTTCCGAGGGTAACATAGAGGAGATCATGTGAGGAAGAAATGAAAGCTTGTGAGCAGTCGTGGGGCCAAGTCGAAAAAACTGCATTGGAGAGAGTGAAATGGCGACGTGCTACTGAAGTGCTGTGTTCTACTACGAAGCTAAGGGACAAATAATGATAATAATAAAAGATTATGGGTTACCTAGTAATACACGAATACTGATTGACGAGCAATAAACAATGGAGCACTGTTGCATCTTCAAAATTTAACTCATTTTCTTAGTTGTCGACATTCATTTATGTTATATGAGATAATATTTTGTGACACCTAATCACCAAGTAGTATTCCTGCACGTGAATAAAATCATCTCAGTTGGCAGTACTGTCGTAATCTCCAATCTTTTCTTTATGCAAAGTAGGATGGTCAGTTCGTTGACCTTCGTAGGGGACTTTGCAGTTGATACTGAATTAGAGAAATATAAATCCGTTTGTAGATTTGTGGGGAGTGACTGACTACAGGTAGGATTCATCAAAGACCGAAGTCAGTTTGAAAACCACCGAAAACCTACAAGCCCTGGACAGATGTTTCTTCATTGTATGCAATTTATCGACAGTGTGCACCCAAAACCCTACCAGGGGTCAACCCAGGACTGTCAAGTCTGTTGGTGAGCACTTTGCCATTCAACCACTCGGTTAGAATGCAATTATTCATATTCTTCTACTTCTGTCAGTTTTTGATATTACACAAACATCACTCACTGCTATCGTTAAGTATTTGTTCACATATCCAACTTGCTTGAACCTATAGGTCAAGACTTCTCATGTCACTTGTGAGCCATAGACAGTAAATCAAAAATACTTTGAGAAAGTTATGTGAGCATCTATCCTTCTTTAACAAAGACGTTGATTTTTTCATTTCTTTCTTCAGTGCTTTTACTTCAGTATGTTTCAGCTCTTTTGAATAAAGTTTGTACATAATAAAATCATTTGCGTTTCTACGCATCTGATTCGCTAGTTCTGCTGTGTTAACCCCATTCATCAAAACATACAAGAGTGAGTGATGGTTTGTTGTTCAGCTTTTTCTTCATCGTGAATTTGATGCCCATGAATACCATAATGCACTTTTTGTCGTCCAAGGATATGGAAATGTTCCTCTTATTGACAAATCATTCTAACATTTTTCCTGGTGATTCACATATTCTTCAAAGTTTCATGCTGATAATTTTGTCAGAAAAGACCACAAAATCTACCAGCGTAAATCATTTATCTCAGACAGACAAAGCAAAATCAACGTAGAACCTCGAACACAGGTGTATCGGTTTAAGATGACACAACTTACTGTCTAATGCAAATAATATGTGGACAGGAAAAGAGTGATATCAAAGTAGACAAAAGTTTATGAGAGCAAAATGAATTCGAAAATCGGGGTCCATGAGAATATTCAAGCTGCAGAAGATTTCATCAGAGAATGAATACATCTGCACCATTGTGATCTATTTCCAGTCATGTCACCAAGATTCCTTAACCTCTGATTCCTATCGTCTCCACTGCCCAGCTAGGCAGTCTACACATCTCGATACACCTCACGCTAACAGTCAAAGACTTCAAGCACTGATGCTGCGTCCTGGTCTGACCAAACTGAGCTCACTTACAATTTAATTCAACTTCTCCTAGCAATGCACATCCAGTTAGGTGGTAGATCCTCAAGTGCAACCATGTCAAATCTACTTCAGTCACTAAAGGTTCACAACCTCATGTACTTACTCGCTTTCCTCTCCCAACTTCTCTGCAGCTGAACTCCATGTTGTTCACATGGTGATCCCACCATACATGAGCAATGTTACGACGACATCCGTGTTCAAGAACTTGGAATCTCTCCATATCTTCTACTTTCAACAACCATATCTTACAGTCATATAACAAGAGAGAACGAATTGCAGGCCAGTATACTCATCTTTTAATACTTAGTCGAATATCTCACCAGTTAATAACAGAAATGATATAAATTGACAAATGCCAAATGGCCTTCTAATTCCGAGCTAAGATTTCGTCACCAACCAACCGGTTTAGGTTGATGTAACTCTCCAAGTTATTGAAATGGTAGACGCACCCCACTACTTAACTACCTGTCATTAAACTGAGAGTAGTTGCACACCGCAATTAAACCATCATCCTACATTTGACAGTTCCGAAACGTATGCAAGCCAAATATATTCAGATTTATGTTCGACGCTTTCAAAAGGCACTGGATTCTGTCGGCGTCTTCACCTGGCAGGAAAATGTCGTTCCCACACTCCACGTAAATCAGAGGCCCTTCGAGAAGTCGGTCAATTCCTGTGAATTCACAGGGCATAAAGATGTCAAAAGCACAGACTCAAACCAAAAAATACTCTACACTACCTCAAACCAGTAACAACCGGATACGAACTCATTCCTTCAGAGGAAACGTACAGTTTCACTGAGCACCTCATGATGTTGCACCGATTTCCCGCAAGTAGTCGATACGTTCAAGTAGATAAAAAGTGAACTAAACGGTTATTAAACTTAAGTACACTTGAGTTCTTGATGAATTCATTCATACAGGTGATTTTAAGCCTATGCTAAGATATCATGTTCAAAGAACACTTCAAACTTTTATCGTCCTTATTTCAGGCTTCAAAGTCCCCTACTGCCTTAAAGAAATAGGGAGTTTATATAATTTAAAATGGCAGCTATGAGCAATACAGATAACCACTTGACTGTTCTGAGAGGATGGCACTGAAGTAGTAGAAATATTTAATCATATACATTCAACCAAAGTGAAACTCTAACTTATTGGCTTGTGAGGTTGACTTTCAACTACTGGGCCGTAGGGTTTGAAACCCTCCCCACTTACTCAAGTTTTGGCAGCCAAATAGTATCATCAGCCGTCTTCATACAATAAGTGTCGCTCATTACCTACTATAAGAATGTGTGCAAGGTTGCTGGATGGAACGACAAAGCAGGCAATTAATCGACACTTAGATATTTTTTTGGCATTCAAGAGAAATTTGTGATTTACAATAATTTCAAAAGATACATATTCGTACTGCATTGATTATACATCACCGAATCCGAAATCACTAAACCCATGTGTAATAAGATGATAGTGAGAAACAAAAGAAATGAACTTCGATCAGTGGTGAGATACTTAAGAACTGACGGCAACATCAGTTATCATCCAGTGTTCGGTTCGTATACGCACTCTATCCATACAGAAGGTCACTTGTGACCTGAACAGCCTAGCGGCGGAGTCTCTGACCATAGGACCAAGTGATACGAGTTTCAATCTTTGAGTGAATATGAGTTGATCCATGGTTGCATATGAGTTAACCAGATGAGTGTCAACATAAGCAAAAACTAGATGAATCAGGGCATCTTGGCGATTAACTCCTATCACCTTATATCAAGAGAAGAAATAGATTCATGCGATGTGGCGGGATCATGAAGACTTATAAGGAAATAAAATGTATACACGTGGATCAAACGGAGTGTTTCGAATGTATTTCGAGTGAGTTACATCAGGGTATGGGACTGATGACCTCTACTGCAGGTATTTGACCTTAAGCCACCGATAGACAATCTGATAGTTCCAATAACTATCACACAAACCATATTAATTAGAAGATTATGTCAATGCTTCACATTATTTATCATTACCATGTTTTATTCTCCTTCATATACTGTGTAGACATTACAAGAAATTATAAATACAGAGCGGGAAATTGAATCAATAAAAAATGCTATTCGTGATAAAGAAGTCTACCTCAAAATTGCAACAAGCAGATTAAATATACGTTTACAAAGATCTGGTATGGATCTTGTTTGTGATGCAGCACAAACTCAGTAAGTTAATAATCTTACTTAACAACAGTTATTCGAATTAACTATGGTTTAATGATTTTAGGAAGTGATTATTAAACCCTGAGTTTTGGGCATGAACCCATTTCACCTGATTTGGATAGCCAATTAGAATCATAAGCCTTCTAGTTCACGATCCAGGTTTTTACTGCCTTGCTGAACGCGGTAAAGACCAATTAGCTAAACTCTACGTATGTGTGAATTGGAATGAAAGAAATTTAGTGCCGTTAAAATTTAAGTTAAGAAATATAAACTGAAGGGTCAGCATTTTTCATGATGAAGCATTGAACGACACCTCTCGTTATTATAAAAGATGAAGTGGGTTACAACAAGTGTGACATTTAAACGGACAGAGCTCATAGATAAAGGATACTACATGTGTTATCAACCGATCAATCGAATTCGCGTAGAATAAACACGAATACATTATAGGCGATCAGAATTTAAGGCAGTCTGGACAAGTGCTGTTGAGGTGAGAAATCACGAAGTGCTTCAAACTCCTAGTATGGGAAACAGATGAGATAGCTGAAATTAAACGAAAATAAGACTTGAGTTCTGTGTGTAAAGATTTGGTGCAACGCAGAAACAGTAATTTACTATTCTTGATAACGATAAACCATTGTGGAATATCTTGAAAACGTAGACCCAATCTATCAACCAATGAGAAAAATGATAAACGACAGAAAGGTCAGAGGTGAAGCAGAGGAACAGCCAACAGGAAAGTTTATACAGTCAATGACACAACAATCGGAAGTAACAACTAATCACAAACCACATAGTCAGAGCAAGCCACTAAATTACTTACGGAGAGATACTGACAGCTCACTTCATCCTAAAGTTAGTGCTGATAATGTCGTCTAGAAAGACGAAGAAAGCTTCAAGATTAAATAACCCAGCTCAGAGAACACAGTACAGCCAGGAAACGCAGGTCTACTAAGAAAGTCAGTGGTCTATGGTTATGCAGAAGGAGGGATGCCAGTCTTGTGTGCTGATAGGTAAGATGGGTGGCCGGTGAGATACAAGTCCTGCTACAGTATGGGTCCAATTAGAAATGATATCTTTCCTGTTAAATTTAACATTAACCCATGATATTTGTTGTTAAATTTTGTCCATCAATCAACAGTTAAGATGTTAGTTAAGACGGCTGGAGTGCCACAGTGACAATGCACTGAATGAATGCACTGCCTAAGTGAATGCTTCAAAATAATATGTAAACTTAATCTGTTACTTGAAATACATATTGAATTATGGCAGAAGAATGAAAGTAGAATGTGTAGATTTTTATCAGAATACTCATAGTAACAGTTTTTTATTACCTGGAATAAAAATATGAAAAAGTAACTTTTTTTAAACTTTTACAAATACACTAAAACTATCGATAAAGAAAATACATCTAGTCAAAAACTATTTTGTACATACATAGTGAGAGAGGATACGGATTGTTTTATTGGTGCCTGCCACTAAAAGCATTACCCGGTATGTACACCACAGTACTGAAGGCTTTATGCTCGAACACCCATGAAGTATTAAAGCCTGTGGTGAGCTATTGGATGGATTGTGAACGCCCAATGGTAGCTGTTTCAGATGTCGTTTTCCTCCTCTTCTATTTAACTTTATCATGAAAGTATTTATGGAGGTCCTCCTGATCTCGTCTCAGGAGACTTCTTAGTAGACCTAGAGTTTTCGGATGACATGGAATTAATATGTGAAAATGCTGACAAGATTTAGAGGCTTATAGAGACTTGAGCTACAATCTGAGGATGTTCGGAATATATTTTTTTAACACCCCAAGGCAACTTATCGCTTCATTACTGGTCTGCGTCACCACCTTGTCTGAAAGTATAGGGGGTGAAGTTCCACCCACATGGAGGGTCTGTGGTCAGCGAAATCTCGACATGTGTACGGAATACTTGACTGAATTTCCCTAACGTGCCACACAGCACTAGTTACATATTTTACTTATGGTCGGCTTTACTACACAGTAGTTCCCTATGTTCCGCTGTGTTGCTTTGAAACAAGGCTACTAAAGGTTCAGAAAACAAGAAAGCTCTATGTGTTTAACAAGCTCCCTCTTTGTAGTGTTGCTTGCATGTTGTGAAACCTGTGTGTTAGTCGCTTAGAGGTAAGGCAAAGAGTTTTGGGCAAAAGAGTTAGGTCACTCGATTGGGTTGTAAACTCGTATCGACTAAACTGACCGGGACATATGTTACCCATGCCTAGTCTTTATCTGTCTTGCTGTGCAATTCTAGCTGAAATTGGTTTAGAACGAAAAAGGTTAAAAATGATGGTACTAAAACGTTTCTTAAACTCATGAAGTCTGCTGAAGAAGCTGTAGCATACACAGCGAAACGTTCAGAAAAATCTCGTCTTGATATTCAGGATAGGATGAGATTATATTAAAACTTACTGATGTGATTACTCATTATTATTATTATTATTATTATTATTATTATTATTATTATTATTGTCATGATACTTACTGTCTTCAAACTTCATTACCATTTTATCACGCACAAAAATCACCATGATTGATTCCATATTTGATGTGTAAGTAAAATCAAAGCCTAAGAAAGTCTAATTTGAAACAGTACTGTGCACTTAAGCGTTTTGCTCCAAAATCACATAGTGTAGAATTATTGATAGGAGAGAAATAGCTGCACAGAGTGCATTTTTTCGCAACTTACGTACTGCTTCTGAATAGTATTCATAATAATATTCAAAAATTTCAAGATAGTTACCATCAGTATCAGTTCTAAGACACATTTACTAATATCTTCAACTACTGGGTTCTTTAACTTCCTGAACTCCATTCACAGAGTGATGATGGGTCAAAAGATACTGCGCTGGTTACTTGCTTTATTTAATCAGTCTCATGACCAACAAAAGGTGAGAGATATGGAGGTTACCGTGACAACATATGCAACTTACTTTCGAAGTATCGACGTCATTGTTTAAAAATGATGTCACACATTTAATGGCGACTATACTGCACCTAGATACACTGCAGTTTCCGATCAGTCTCTGGATGCAAACTGTCCCATAGAAATAGCCGTAGTCAGGTGAATGCAAACAAAGGAACCAATTTTCACAAACCTAAAACAGGACTTTACGCGCTGACGTGTTTCAAATCCTATATTGAACAATGAGGCTGACGTCAAAACGTAACTAGACATAACTTAACTGGTTCACTCCATTTTGGTTTCCATCATATGAGGAGTGATGTGGTGTGTCATCTGTTCAACTTTACTCAAAGAATGAATTACCTAGAGAAACTTTATGATTATTTTTAAAACGTCTAGAGACTGGTAAAATTACTACTAAAGATAACTTTCAGCCTTAGCAAAGAACTATGCACTTCGTAGCTACGAATCCCCCGCTACGCTAACATTTGATTATTGAGCGTGCATGGAATCCTTATCCTTCATGTCAGTATGCCTCATGATGATAATGTCTTCAATCAGAAAATCAAGGTATCTTCCTCCCCGAGAAAAATCTAAAACACTGCCAGATACTTCTTTCAGCAACGCCCGACGAATATCACCGGTGATAAATTCAGAATCTAACTGTGATGACGGGCAATCTTGGATAACTTCTTTGCTCGTACACAACGGTGTAGGCAGTTGGTTGTATGCTGTAACCTCTATTCGGGATGCTTTACATAATTCTGTTAGATAGCATCTAACAGCTGAATGTGAAAACATCGAAGCTCTCAGATCGCGCATATGCCCCTCACAAGAGCGCCTATACCTACGGTTTCATTAATTCATCCTTGATACCGCCAAGAGACTAACTAGATATCGACTATTCACTTACAATCTAAATAAGATGTTTTCAAATTACTTACTGATGGAGAAGTATGTCTTTATTTCAATTTTATGGATGGGAAAATGAAAAGTTTGATAGAATGATCAAAGAGTATATCTGAGTGGACCGACATGCTAAATAATCTGATAAACTTATATCTCAAAATAGAGAATGGGAAATCTCAGGCCGTAAAGTTGACTAGTTCTTATTGAATAAAGAGCTAACACAATTTCTTTTCCAGCCTAATGGGTAACCCTCTGAAATGTAAAATCACTGGTTCTGAGCTTCAGTCTCAGAGGAAACATCACCCACTAAAAATGAGATACAGATGGGTTCTAGCTAAGATACAACAACCAACTTTCAACCCGCAAATAGAGGATTCTACCCACCTTTTATGTAATGAGGCTTAGGTGGCTAACCGTCATATAATCGACAGGTATGACTCAATTTGGTAACCTGCTATACTGAATAGACTAATCCGTAACTGGACAACGTGTTCAATTTCCAGTTCACAGTTAACCGCTATCATATGATATCAAATAAGCCCAGTAAATGTAAAGGCAGTCTTTAATTCAAGCCATTTTCAATCTCACAACAGAATCGACCGTCACTCTTCTGATACCACTTTCAGTTGATGCTAACAACAAAATTCCATTACAAACTAGCCTCTTGCTTATTGTTTTTACCTTGAAAAAATTATTTTCTAGATTGAAATGTGAAGTCGCACAACTTAAAGGTACCATAAAATCATTAAAACAACAATTGTTTCGTGCAGAAGATATACTTCAGGAATTATTGCGATTGAAAAGAGTCAAAGAATCCGAACTAGCGGTAAAAAATAACAGCATATTTATTGATCGTGAGAAATGTTTAAGTCTACGAGCCAATTGGCTAGTAAATGCTTCTCATGCAGTACCATACCCAGGATTCAGTGAGACTGCCCTTAATGTCGGCAGAGATACAGCTAGAACATATGTTTGTTATTAGATAGATGGTGACGACAAAAGTGAAAAATAAAAACTACTGTTTTGTTTTTATATTCAGCCTACTCCACGGAAACACCTTACTACTCTTGTCTGTGCATATACCTTGACAGTGAGTCAATTAAAACATTTCTTTGATTTACAGAGTGATAGTAATATGAGATAATGAACCCAGCAAAAAAAAGAATATGAAATGTTTAAAAAACATAACAATTTATTAAGCGAAATACAAACTTCATAATGTATTCTTATTGAAGTTGATTATGCTGTTCTGTCAAAGATAAAGACAGACATTTTCACTAAGAGAACATAGTGGACTGTTAACAGTGCTCAGCCATCTATGGGTGAATTCTTTAGCGAAAAGAAGTTTGTCATACTTATGAAACATTCAATTAGTGCAGACTTTCTACGCTAAACATTCAGCTCTATAAAATAATGAGACGATAGGAATTCCTAACCGCATTTTACCAAAATTTTATGAGAATATTGCTTTCTATCATTAGCAGTCATAATCACCCATACTTTGCTTGCTTAGATGTTAAAAGTTAAGTATTGACTCTAAGATTATACGTAGTGAAGTTTCTCATTAATCTTCGAATAACAACTGTGTACTTTAATTTAAAGTGGATTAACATTGTGAACTACTTAATGTCTATGCACAGTGAAGGAAATTTGCCTTTTAAAAGTATGATAGATAATAGTTTATGTAGCCAAATTCTAGTTAGTCTACTATGTGTCTCTGCTGTATCCATACGCGTGACTTACGAACCTGACGTAACCCTTAGTTTCCCTCATGTTCAAGGAAATTCCGTCCATTTCTGTTGCTTCTGGTTGCTATCTGCCCCCTGGAAAACGCTGAATCTCTTGAGGGTGTACATATCTCCCTCCAAATTCTGCAAACCTCAGACCACAGGTAACAGAAAGAAGCCTTGAACCTGTCTTTCAAACGTTGAAGTTACCTATATCCATCTCGACTTCAAGGTAGCAGACAGTTGGATTGTCACCCACTTACTGAACAGCACTTATAAGCTAGCAAGGAAAGTTATTAATATTGCCTAACCCACGACTTTGTTGAAGTTAACTGATATCTAATATCTGTTATTATTCAACTCGTTAGCTATTTGTCTAAAATAATAGCATTATTTATATTTTTAACGCTTCTCGCTTGCTTTTCTGAGAATGAAAACAAGTGTCAGTAGCCTCCTTAGAAATAAGAGTGTTAGCGCGAAAAGGCTAAAACTATCTGATCTATCGCCTAAGGTTAGAGGTTCCATCAGCGATTGCGGTCTGTCACTTAAGTTACCAGACCTTATGACTGACATCTACAGTGATGTTAATAAAGTTGAGTCCAATGTTCTAGAAATCTCAAAGGTAGTTGAAAATATGCAGTGTAAAATGGAATATCTCCTCCCTCTGATGGATTTCTTAGACCCCAAAAGTGACTCCACACCTGATAATTTAGTGAAATGCGAGAGGTTAGTTGACTTTGCAGCCAGTGAGGTGAGCAACCAAATGCGATCCTCCTACAATTCAGTAGTCTTCAACATCCTTGACAATTCCCCACTAGAGCGAGTTAAGACTGATTGTTTACAAGCATGCGGCTTGGCTAACTCAGCTTGTAATGTTCGTCGCCTAAGGAAAAGAACAATTGGGTTCCCATGTCCTGTTCTATTTCAATTTAACTTGCCGTGCAATGCAGAACACTTCTCTGGCTCTCAGAAAATTATAGCGTCCACAACACCATGTAACAAGGCTAAGATATCTCCTGACGTAACTCCTTGTCAGCGTCACACACGGAAATTCCATGGTGGACTGACTTCTCAATTTTCGCTAAAACCACGAGATACCGAGAGTGGAATGCAGTCAACGAGTTGTGAGGGTGACAAGCTAACTGGAACTTCGCTGATCTTTACATCCCCAGTTACCAGTGAAGAACTTATAAATACAACAGGGAGCATTAGAAATGCTGACTCCATACCGCCGGCATGCACTAATATAATATCCATGGACCTAAATGACAACACAAATCTTAGTGATGAACCACAGGGATCCCAAGTCATTCGGTCCGCTCGTACCACACAGGTAGATCAGTCTGTGCAACCCGCCTCTTCGGCTTTGTTGCTGAATGCATTATCCCTAAGCGAAACGTCTTGGAAATCTAAACAATGCTACCCAGCAAAACTGAGAACCCCCAATCGCCTGGTGGCACATAGTGCCATGAATTTCTCTCAAGTTGGTTCATTTCCATACAAAGATAATCATAAAAACACTCCCTGCCCAGAAGCAGGAAATAAGACGGTCTCATCCAGCCATAACAAGCTTCAGCTGTTCAATTGTGGGAGCGCGAGTAAAGCGTACCACTAGAGACAGCCCAGGCCACTTAAACTGGGGAATACGGTTTCAAAAAATAATGATAGGTTTTTCTCGTCACATCCCACTGTACAGTTTCCGTCTACCAAGGAATATAGCCCCAGCGCACCACCAACGCACTTTAGCCCACAACCCAACGTGAATAGACCCAAAACTATCCCCTTGAGCGTTCGGAATAAGGGACCTTATGCCCACCCTAGCTATGACATTAGAGCTAGCGTAAGTAACACCTATCCAGCCTCCTATGAAGAATCTACTCTCTGGAACCCCCCGGAAAACCCATATTTTTTTGGGCTTCACAAAATAATAGCACCTGTAGCCATGCAGATGATGGCACACTCAAGTCAACTGCTATCAGCTATAGCCAGCAGCCAATTCAGTAGCAGAAATACTATAGTGACACCTTCCCATCCCCCAGGCCTAATAAATGGTCGGTCATCGTCAAAGGCAACAGTGAGTAGTCCGGCATACAACGCTAAAAAACTTGCCTTTATCCTGACATTTCATACCCCACATCCCGTTGACTCAAATGATGACCATGAAAGAACACTTTCATCCCGTCTCGTTAGTGACCAAAGTCTTTTTATAGCCCTATCAGAATTCTCTGTTCTTCTGTTTAGCTGGCGTTCACTTTGCAACAAGCTAAATTATCTAGAATCTCTGGCCTACTTGATCAAACTATGCTGCATTTTAATCACTAAAACTTGATGTACGTCAGATACCTCAAACCTCAGTCTGGCGTTAGATAATTACAGTTTGTATCGTAATGACCGCAGTACTTCTAAAGGTAGAGGTTGCATCGCCTATGTTCGCTCTGATTTTTCATCTTAGAATGCCTCCCGTTGGGTTGGGACCCATTAGATGATGCAGTATTCGTGAATAACAACACTTGCCAACATTACAAAATTACCGTTGGTTGCCTGTATAGGTCGCTGCATGTTGAGCCTGCCGTTGACGAACATATCAACGAGATATTCAAGCTGCCACCATTACTATAAACTTGTACAGCAGTAGGTAGCGATTTTAATATGCCGGGTATCATATGGGAGACACTGCAAGGACCATCTCGTTTCAGGCCATTCTATCGAACCTTAGAAACCAATGGATGGGTTCAGGTTGTTAACAGCTGTACTCGATGATATAATATACTTGACCTGATTTTTTTGAACAACGCACCACCACTGACCATACGTACTGGCACCGAATTCCCGGAAAGTGACCACGAGGTTGTAGCCTGTCAACTTTTTGCGCCATGTAGGTGCACTCCCGCACTACTGAGGCCTACAACACTCGTTCGCAGAAGTTTTGTTGACGTCGGTTGGCCAAGCTCACAATACTTGATACGCCGTCTAGGCCGGGACGAGTTCTTTTCATTCGGTGATCTGAACAACTCTCTTGCAAACTTCTATCTCAATTTAAACATTTGTCTCTACTCCGTAGCCCCAAAGAAAACACAAAAGCTGCATATTAACATCAAAGAATACACCCCTATCATATTCAGGCCAAAACTAAGGAAACTGCAAAAAAGTCTTTCACATCACATGACTTTTCTGCGATTCTTAGGATCCACGCCGTTTTCAGTGACCTGGAAGTTCACAGACGAAAAACTGAAACCTTTACTGAGAATAAAATTCTGAAACATGAGAATAAAACTGGTCTGCTTGCCACTTCTCTTAAAAAGAAACTCTGTAATAAACCTGACATGTTGAATGTGTTGAAAGTGGGCAACAAGATTGTTGCAAACCCCACGGAGATATGTGAAATACTAAGCGAAACGCTTAGCCTTTCTTTCACTGTTTGTAATCGCAGCCTCGTTACACTCAGTGACACTGGAACACCTAAAATCTCGGAAGTTGACTTTAACCTAAGCAACGTACGTGACGCAATGAACTCACTGAAACCCCCTCTTGGTGATGGAGTAGGTGGGACACCTGGGATTTTCATTAAAAACTGCAGTGCGGACTTCCCCACATTGCTAGCAAAAATATTCAGCCTGTCCTTAAACTCTGGCACTTTCCTAGTTTCATGGAAGACTAGTCATATCACTCCGTGCTTTAAGAAAGGCTCCAGAATCTACCCGGAAAATTACCGCCCTACTAACGTAGCATCTGTCCCCTCGCGTATAATGAAGAAACGCCATCTTTTCTCACCTTTCAGATCACAAAATTATGGATTCCTCGCAGTATGGATTACTTTCTAGGAAATCTTGTATCACGTATCACCTAGAATTCTCCGAACACGTAGTTAACAGTAGAGACGATGGAAAAGTGATTGTCTCGCTTTACTTCGATTTCACCAAAGCTTTTGACAAAGTGCATCACCCCTCACTCCTTCGGAAATTGAATTCATTTGGAATAAGTGGCAAGTTGCATGACTGGATCGGCTCATTTCTGCTGAACCGCCTCCAAGTTGTCAAAACAGGCTCACATTGTTTCCTTCCCAAAAATTTCATCAGTGGAGTTATCCAAGGCTCCGTTCTCGGACCCCTTCTCTTTATAATGTATATAAATGATATATGCGCCCGCTTTCAATCAGGGAAAACCTTCCTCTTTGCAGATGACTTGAAAGTGGTGTACACTTTTCACCCTAACCAATGTAGCAGCATGAATACCACCTTACAAAACGATCTCGACAAGCTACAAAGATGGTGTGACACGTGGCTGCTACCTCTGAATACACATAGGTCCGGCTTTATGCTCTTCGGTGAACAAAGCGTGCCAACTAATCCTCAGCTGAACAGCATTGCACTCCAACAGCTCAAAAGTATTTGCGACCTTGGAATAAGGTACTCCAGTGACCTTTCCTTTACAGGATACGCAACGGCACAGTGCTTCAAATCACGCCGCCTCATTGGCTTCATTCACCGGACTTTTCGCCTGAATG